ATAGTAGTGTACAATCAGTTTTAGGGCCAGGAAAACTCATATACATGAAATATAGGGAAAACTCACATATTGTGTTGTATCTTACTCAATTTTTGATCATTTTAATTTATTTTTTCTGGAATATGAAAGATACTTCAAAAGTATAATTTTTACAGCTTAGATCATGTAATTTGGTTAAGTATTAGTTGAGTTATAGTAGATTTTGTATTTGAGTGTACTCAGTGTGACGAAAATCACGAATCGCGCGTGTGACAATATTTATGAAAACGACAGTAATGGTTCTCATTTTGCAAATAATTCAAAATTTGATGAACGTTGTGTTTGCTTTTTGCAGGCCATTTATTTCAAATTAAAGCTGGCAATTTTCAGCATGAAATTTATGAGGGGCAAGCCTTTCACAGTAATGCCTATGACAGATTCATAAGCACATTCAAAGCAAAGGAGACTCGACACACATATCAGTATGATTATTCTATGCCAACCCAGAAATGCTTCATTGATAGTCTCGTATTCTCTCTACTGAGAGCTTTCTCTTCTACAACTTCCAACACTCCTTTGACATTGTGTTTGATTGCACTCTGTCTGAGTTTCAGTCTGCAATCTACGGTGGACAACAACAGCACACTGTCACTCCTAGATTCCAAAACTGCGTAAGTCGATTGAATGTCTGAGTCGATCGAGTCGATCGTCGTGACTCGTGACCGTCACGGTTTGGTTTGAGCTTCCCGGGCTGACGAAATTTGGAGGAGTATCTCGATCGATGTCCGAAAGGTCGCCCTATCCCTGGTGGCAAGACAGCCTGCCATGACGCCAATGAGAAAGTCCATTTATCTTTATTGCATTGCACGGTGTGTATGGAAGCTTCGAATGTTCTACGCCGTTCTCAACAGTCAGTTAGGTAAAGTTGCATCAAAGCCTCCTGATGTGGTGGTGTAAGCTAAAAGTTTGATGCACACAGCCATCTGATATCAAATCGTACGGAGAACGGTCTGTTGACTGTCACATTCTCTGAAGGTTATCTCCTGCAGTGAGTCGCCATCCCTGAAATGCACTGTCGTTGACAATCCTATTTAACAATCATTTTTTCTCCTTGTCATGAATATCAAGCAAATCCCATTTCCCAATATATAAACATTGTAAGTTCTTTTATCTCTTTGTGTTGACTTGCTTTGCAGCAAATCCGAACTTTGTTGTCATGCTCTTTTTATACAGTGCCCTCCACGTGCTGAAAATGAAATCAGATTGAACAAATGATAGTTCATTTTTAACAATCAAACGCTAGTCCATATGCTGTTATCATGTTGATCACGCATGTCTTAGCTTGAAAATGTCCACCCGATTGGTCTGCTGAAATGGCCTTAAGACGCAAGCACTAGTCATTAACAGAGTGCCGTAAATTTAATCATAGAAAAGTCGATTTCTAGGTGCCAATTAAAACGCCAGAACGTGATACATGGAATAAACAATCCCTACTGGACAGGCAGTTTAAAGGCCAGCAACTTGGCAATGGTTTAAGGTCACTGGTGCTCCCAGATCCCACAAGGTTTGAGTACAATTGATGGCGACTCTTGACCTTGGCCAGGCTGTATCTCTTGCATCAAACGTGTATATATACCGCGTATGTGATCAGTATAGTCTGGTACTCTATACTGTCTACTTATTCATTTGTCTGTATAGGTGACATTCGGTTTGTTTCTTTCTCTTGAGTCTTTTGAGTCTACGAGTTTTTTTAAAAACTTTTTTTTCTTATTCGTTACCGGATTCAAAGTTGCAACACTTGCCGCCTTGGTATGTTTCCCACTCTTTTTCCTAGTACGTATCAAATATAAAATTGTTTGTTCATTAGACATACGACTACTTGCTGACGATAGGACACGAGAAGGAGCTCGTATGGCCATCGCGTGTTTCAGTCGTCAAAATTCTCTTCCTGTTGAATAGATATGTACCGTTCGTCGGGATTTCTGGGAGCATATATGGTACAGCGAATGCCCTAGTTATCTGATCCATGGGACTGACTGTTCCACACCCCTTTCCGCAGTGTTAATTTCCCTTGATACACGCAAGCATTTAAGAGTGAGCAAAATCGTTTATCCTGGATTACAGATTTAATGATTATACCAGAACTGCATTCCCGGCTTTTGGGCAGGTAGCGGTATGTCGAAATTGGCTGATGCTATGTTCACGCGTCATTGACTTAAATATATAGCCTTTATAATTGCTGAGTATGCCCTTGCAGAATGTGAGCTATAATTTCATGGCATTCTAGTCGCATACGGCTTATGTTTTAGTGATCCTGTACACCCGAGCATATGCTATCTGGGGGCGCACAAGGACGGCTCTAGTCATGATTATAGTTGTTATTCTGGTTCGTGAAACGTTTCTGACAGAGTATACAACAAGCTAATGCTTTCCCTCGTACCTACAGCTCGTATTTACTCCTGGAGTGTATTTCGCATCAACGACTCTCAAATCAGCCACTTGTCTGTATGCATCGCTATATACATGTAAAACAATGTCTTAACGCTCGCAAAAGTACATGATCTGCCCATCTTCCCTACCGGTTGTCTAATAAGCCTCGATGGACACACTGAAATGCTTCCTATGATTTTTGTTGTCGTCTCAGAAGCAGGTGAGAGCACGTCTTTAACTCTTTGATATCCTTTATTCTGACAAAGGTACAATGAATACTACTTCCGCTTAGTCGCACTCCTGGCTGTACTGGTGAAAGCCGGTTAGTTGGCAAGTATTCATTGTAATCAGTCATCTAACTTTATAGCCCAGCACAAATGCCACAATCGACAATTATGAAGCAAATATCGAGCAATGGTAAGGAGATAACTTCTGCTTTACCGACGAATGATCATATAAAGTACTACTGTCTAGGTGTCTTCTTTTTTGTTGTAATACTCTGTAAGTAATTTTTTCAACACTCTGTTCTGGAAGACTCATCGCTGAATGAACTATATAATCCCAGGCATAACAGTGGCAAATATTATTGTACTTAACGTGGTGTCGCCGGAATTATGCAACATTCTCCTTTCGTGCGTCTTCATCATTTCATCCTTTTCTATATATTAAATAGCGTTTTCCACAGACCACAAGCAGCTGTCCATAGTATATGCTGCAACAGGCTTATTTTCCAGACTAAATGTGCTCCGACTCAGACACAATATTCGCACATCGTTACATCGTCTTCTCATCAGGTGCTCCTTCGGCCGCATGCAAAGCATAGCGATGATATTGAAATGCAGTCACTGTAAAGAGGTACCCCTATCCCAACCTGTACCACCCGGAACTTGCCCACCATGACCACCCGTTCACAGTATAAACGATACACGACAGCGGGATGTACAAAATACAACGCCAACTCACAGCACTTACCGAACTGAAAAGTTTCTATACCGATTCTTCCTTCTGCCTTCACTGGCATTCATCCAATCTATCCTTCTCTCACCGATCCGCAACCATTTGCACACGTTCGGAGAGAGACTCTAGACACACACAGACTATATATGGTAGTTTGGTGCCGTTACTTAGTCGACAGAAGCGAGCACTTCCGCTTTCATGTCTCGATTTATTTTATGCGAGGAAATTTAGTTTTGTGTATGCAGTAGGAATCACTAGCAAGTAAATACACGGGCCTTGTATAAGTGGTCATACAGCCGCGGATGTGATTACTTGCATCTGGGAAAGTTTCATTGATTTGCAGATGTTGCGTGCTAGTCCCGGCATGCTATTATTAGTCTCGTTAGTCTAGTCCCAAGCAACGAATTAAATCACGGAGGCTTTTCATTTCATTCAAAATCATAATTTCCCAACTTTGTCCCACCCAAAAAGCCTTCCCCACGAGCGCCACATCCGCTCGACGATCCGCAGCTTCTCAATTCGTCCGAGTTCTGGATTCTCTAGATCTGCAATGTCGGCAAGCATTCCGGCACGCATTAACGAATGCGAAGGAAGGCGCGTTTCTGCGAACTCGCGCAAACGTGCGACTGCAATGAGTAGCAAACCCGACGTGAGATGCGGCAGTGTGGAATCAGGTGGTACGTTCCCCGAGACAGCCGATCCTTCAGATGTGCGGGTGTCGTTTGGTGAGATGATAAGAAGACGTTCCACGCGGCGAATTGCAAGCCAAGCTCCCTCGCGCTCGCGTCGCCCACCGAATCTTTTGCCTCCTCGTCCACCAGTCCAGAGTCCACGTACACCACTGAATGCTGCATAGACGATTGCTAATGCAGGAGCAACGCCGACGAATGCGAATGTTAGCTCCTGTGATTTTAGCAATTTATCGATGCCCGAAAGCGCTTGATCAAGATCGACCTAAAAATTGTGTCAAATTTGACTCGATAAGAAAAATATTCGGGACACAAGACGTACCTTCGCTTTCTGGATTTGGATAAGTAAAGAGCGAACAAGACTGCCGGTAAGGGCGGTACGGACGGGAGCTTTGATGTCTTCCTCATATATGCGCAAAACAGGTGTGAAGTCACCCTGGTGTATTTGCGAGGTTAATTGTTGTAACTGTGTCTCGTTAAGGGACAATTCGTCTCTACCCAGATCAATTGCCATACGTTCTAGTGACTGTTTCAGGTTAGCATAATCTACGGGAAGAGGTGAGCACATCCTCACTTACTTCAATATCTGCACGGACAGCTTCACGGTTTACAATCCCTGCGTTGTCTTCTCCTCCGGTCCGTACAGTATCGAGAATATCGCGAATAGGTTCAATAACATAACCAAACCAGAAGCCTTTCAAAGTATCGTGGGCACTGAGAAGGCTTTCCATGATACTCTCTCGCGAGTTATATATTACCCGGAATAGGAAAAGCGAAATTGGAGGGATAAATGCTAATCGGGGCCAAATGAGAGTTAATCGAGACGGTCTGCGAAGTGCAGAGAAACGCATGGAATGCGAAGCAGCTCGGGAAGCAAGCTGAGTAAACGCAATGTCGCGCAGCACTGAGATGGATCCCTGCACCTGACTAGAAGAATCTGGTTTGTCTGCGTCTATGGCCCTCCGGAGCTTATTTGACGCCATATTTACACTGTCTTCTCGGATCGCGTCTTCCAGTTCCGACTTCAATAAGAGGAGTTGTCCAAGCTCCAAAGCACGCTCGTCCCGTAATTCTATTAGATTTTCGCGACGTTTCTCGCATTCTTGTCGTGTTAGTTCTAAGGGAGAGGAGAAAAGTAGGCGTTGCCGACGATTCAGATGCGGAAAGAAGGCCGCCCCTAAAGCTGTTGGTCGGAGGGCGCTAACAGTCGGAAACAGCTCGCGGAGCGTTCGAGGAGAGAACGAGGATGGGCGAATAGGAATATTGTGCGCTCTTAACTCGGCCAGGATCGTTCGAATGCCACGCATCACACGCTCGGGAAGTGCTAAAATCCATTCAGGACTGTGAGTCATTAAGACAATGATCCGACTCACTTGCGAGAAGATACCAAGCTAAAGAACGTAAAGAGCGTGATACGGCATCCCACCACTCTGCTTCCGAGTCTGTTTCTCTTGCTTCTTGAAGCCACTGGTCAAGTGCCTCAGCATAGAGACCAACCACGATTCGTCGTTCGAGCGCGGTACGAATAACGAACTCTTCTCCAGACGCTAGCTCGGACGATTGTTCATATAGTTCCAGAAGGGTCGAGCGTAAGGAAGACTTGTCGAAAGGTGAATTCAACTGGTGCAAGAGAGCATTGGACTTCTGTTCACGAGAAGACTGTTCCTTGGTCTCGTCCGAAGAGACCGCAACTTCATTTTTGGGTGTCAACGGCACAGATTTCACCGCGGCGAGCAAGGAATGAACATGAGTAGCAGCAAAAGAAGACATATGTTTATGCTTAGGTCCGGCTTAAAGCAGCGTCGTAGACTGAGGAAAGGGAAAGGAATGAGAGGTAGCAGTCGTGACGTCAGGACGAAACACGGTGCACGTGATCCATCTGACGCGTCGCGACGCGCTAGGAGGAGTCAACTGGACACGAGATACTATTTTAAAATTAAATCATAGGCAACCAAGATCAAAGGCCGTTATCAACTGACGATAAACAAGTTTCCAATATTGAGCACAGATTTATTACATGACGTTATATACTCTGCATTGCACAACCCTTCATGATAAAACTAATACGTAGAATACAAGTCTCGTCTTACAGACATTGGCTGTACTATATCCTCAATCAGATTGACATTCCATAATCCAAAATGAAGAAGACTTACATATTCGTTCGATACTGTGCATGTGTAGGGAGCCGTGCACGTTGTTGGACCGGTGAAACTGGGACGTCGATGAACGTGAGTGTGTATTCAATATTGTAATATTAATCAAGAATACGATACGTACCCAATCCCACCGCATTGAGCATAGTGAGCAGCCGTTGCACCACTAGCAGTAGTCGAGGTCGGTGCAGGAGCCGGACCGCTGCTTTGAATAGTTGTTGCTACTGGTGGAGTGCTGACCGGTGCAGCGGGTGCTGAACTCGAGGCCCCACCAGCGGCAGAGCCACTGCATGAAAATACAGGCGGTCCTGATTACACCAGATCAGACAACACCGAGACAGAAGCCCAAGAAAAGTGCAAACCTGGAATGGTGTAGCTCGAAAGTGTTTGGTAAATGTTAATTTTAATTCCTAGAGTTGATATCTGTCAGAATTCTTAGCGTAACAGGCTCGGCCTCCGACTCACCAGGGTCACTGCCGGAGTATGCACCCGGGAATGACACTGTTGCGGGTTGGCTTTTTCCACCGCCAGTGATCTGCAATTGTGCACATTCCATCTGAGGGTAACACATTGTTAGTCTATCAACGAAGCCATCAAACAAGAAACAACGAACGTAGAGCTGTGCTCCGGGGTAGCTCGATGCAGCATGAAGAGCTGTTAATTTGTTAGGCAGGGCTCATCTTACTTCAAGAGGGCAGTCCGTACCAATGAGTTCATGTCGCAATAAGTACTGCCCCTCCTCGATACAATCTGGGATCGTGAAGGTCACTTTCCCCTTGTTAGCGATCATACGGTCCACGCCCCAAGATTGGTCACCAGGATTTAAACCGTCCTCGTAGATCTTGAACCATTTCAAACCGGTCACGTCGGATTGCGTCGCGTTCGGGATTTTGGCTCTGTGAAGGACGAAATTGAACAGAGGTTTTAGGACTGCTGAGAGGGAAAAAACATACAGGTATGACATCACTGGACCTATTTATAGGTCGAAATCTTAAGTGTAAGTAAAGGTGAAGTGAAGCATGTGAAAATACTCGCCTTTATGGCTCTTGTCAATCGGGTCTGCCGGATCACTCGGATCGGCACCGTCTAGTGTATGGTGCCACTCAGTTGTGACCGTCGCGCCAGCTGGTACCGTGATGATGGCTTGTGAGATGGGCTGATGGTACGGGTTGATGCCACCATTGCAGATAACATCGTTGGAAGTGACATCTGTGATAGGCTGCACATCGAACAATAGTTAGCGTCAAGGTCCGAAAAAATTGTGTAATAGCCAGCACGAGTCAGCAGCACCTACACCATCGTAATCCGGTACACGAATTCCAGTTATATGACCCTGATCAACGCCGTTCACGTACATTTCCTACGAAAAGCGTCACTTCAGATGCTTAATCCGGACTCCGAGTCGCATGTACCTGAAAGATGGAATGGGCTGTCACAGACAGCGCAGACGATGCTGCAAACACAAGACTCGAGAGCGTTGTGGAATACATTGCTGGATGACAACCGGGTATAGGCCACCATGTCGACGTGCGCCATGGGTTTTATATGGCCTTCAAGTGATTAAGCTCGCGAGGTTCGTTGTTCATGATACGTAGGATGAGATAGCCAAGGTCACAACCGTTCTTTTCACACCGGAGCCGCAAGTTCTTCGGTATACCAGAAGGCTATTGAGACAATAATTAGTTCAACTGGGCGTGGATTGAGGATGAAGGTTTGCTAGTTTGCTAGAAAAGGTACAGCAGACGCACAGACAGAGCTGTTCCTCGAGGTTTAAGCATTGATTTCTCCTTGAACATCTTTGCCCCGCGTCATCGAAGGGATCTTGAAGCGGAAAAATACGGAGAAGCACAATAGTATAAGCGAGTATATTCCGAAACTTCGGAATGGGACACATCTTCATGGGACGGATGCGGGGAATGTTCACGAGCAACACAGCTGAAGCGAAAATCTCTCAGATGTTTGCTATCAGTCGAAATTAAATTGAATGTCAAAAGCATAGTAAACACAGTCATTGATACAGTTGTAACCAGGATAATACTACAGAAGGCGTTGTGAGCACAACCTTCGCCGAAGGATAAAGAACATACCATGGTTCTCCAAACTTTTAATCGTCATGCCACTCAACTCTTCCACCGGCCCATCGATCGCCCCACATGACTCGCTTGTGATATATTTTCCGCAACTCCCTGAACTCCTTCACGAATTCATCTATATCCTTCCCATTCGTATCAATTTGTGCCGAGGGAGCTACAGATGAGGATTGGATGAAAGCGGATGCGCACGCCTCCGATGCGTCATCTTGAGCCGTCGTCGCATGCCGAAGTCGCATGAGCAGAAATTGAGGTGTGAAGCGCTGCCGTATGCATCGATTAGTTCAGGATGCCAAGAGTGCGCAGAAGATCCGTACCTGATACACCTCCTTCTGCTCCTTTTCAACCGTTCGCCAGCGAGCCTCAAGTGATTTAGCTCGGTCAAATGCTTCTTTCGTCTCGCTCCGTAGCTGATACAGCTGCTCTTGTAAAGCTAGATTGTTCCCTTCGCTCCTTGTTGGTTAGGAACGACGAATTGGACCGACAGAAGCCACCCACGCGCCAATTCCTGGTTCGCCATACCGAGGTCTATTTGTGCCTGGAACATAGCCTGGACTTGCGGTAATGAATGAAATACTGCCTGAAAGTACTGTGGATCATTGAGCATATCCTCAAGATCCTCCCGACTGCCAGTGCATACGCAAAGTAATTCAGATGCAATGCACACTCAAATTACATAAACACTCACGGATACTTTGATAGCTCTGGAAACTCGGCAAATAAAGGAGAATCAAAGGACATGAGAGAAGTAAATACAAAACAAGTGAAGAGTCAATAACGAAGGAGCTCGACTTGCTCGACAGAGTACTTACGTAATAATTGCCTTACTCATTCAATTATTTTTAATTTGAGAAATATCTGTCAAAATAATTACACCTTGTGCTGGTTCCTTATCGTAGCCACTGTACAAGACTATAGATTGCCTGTATTTAGCTCGGATCATAATACATGCTTCATGCATATCGCTGTAACCAAAACACTTGTATTTTCGTATTTCATTTTGGTAATTGACCATTACATAATTTACAAATCCTACACTCCTTATTCAAGTTATTGAAACTGTTCTAAGTCGTCGTAGTCGTCGTCAATCGTTTTAAGTAAATTGTAAGTCGATTTCTGGGAGGCGCCAGGATTTTGTAATTGTTTCGCCTCGGACTTCCGTAATTCGTCTCGCCTTACTTCGATTTGTTTTGCTAATTTGATTTGCGACTTGACCGCCTTCTCCCCTGCCTTCTTCCTGTGATGTTCATTGAAATGATCTAGGACAGCCTCTAACACTGCTATATGCAATTTTGCCCTCCTCACTTCATCGCTGAAATATGTCTTAGCTGTTGCTGACGGCACACTCCGTTCAAAGATGGAAGTGCATTTCTCATGAAATATGCATGGGCCCCAAACCGCTAGATACAAAGAAACACAAAATAAATCAATACGTCCCATAAAAAGCTGATATCCGGAGAACCTACCAGCGCCCGGTCTGAGAGAAACATTCATTGTGGTTTTGTCGTAACTTTCGATGATACGCGTGGTTCTGGCAGTTCCGAAGAAAATGTCTAAATCTAATAGCACGTTTCGACTGATCAGCTCGGTTTGCTACATGAAAATCAGTTTATAATACCGGTACTTACTCTCCGCCAATCCTCCCTTTCGTATTATCCAATCTATTTCAAAATTCTTGATAAAGGTATTGCCGAACCGTTGTTGTTTATCTTTAGGTTTCTTTCGTTTTGATCTGTCCAATATAGCAGCTTCTCTGGCAACCTCATCCTCTTGTTCAGAATCATATGCACCCATTTCTTGAAGTTTGCGCCTTACTTCAATCTTTTTCTTCATCAAAAGGTTAATCCTACATGTCTGCCAACTTTCGAACTGGTTTTTGCTATGATTATGACAGACGTGCGCGAGAACGGTCGACAGTATATCAAGGTGTACCTGCAATTCTCCAGCTTCAGGGTCCTCAAATGACCGACAATATCTGTCGTATTGAGGCATGGAACAGTCACCATCGAATATACATCCCTTCCAAGCTATGGTACGTGCCAGCAACATGTGTCAAACTTTCTTTCTGCACAAGCGACGCATCAGTAGGATAAAACTCACTTACATCCTGTGGGCCCTTTAAAACCTTTTAAATTTTTGCTGTCGCTTTCCACAAGGAAGGGTTCACTCAAGAAAAGGACTAGGTCTTGATAATGCAGTACGTGAACTTCATGAATAATTAGAATTCAAACTAATTTTTAGCTCACAATCATCTAAGTCACCTTGCAGCCTGCGCTCAATATTGTCTTGTCGGAATTCTGCCATTGATTTTGTTCTCTTGGCCTTGTGAAGTAATTGTGGCGTATGTTCATGTATTGATTGCGTGGAAGAGTGTCCAGAGGCTGCGTCTTTGTTTTCTGTCCCAGTGTTTTGTTTATCGTCGGATTCACTTCCGCTCTCAATCAATGATAGGTCATCTCTGAAGGAGACTTCTTTTTCTAGTCTGGATCCAGACAATGATCCCTTTGACTCACTGCCGGAGCAGGACCTTGTAAAGGTATTATCAATTCTACTTGGAGATGGAGAAGATCCAGTTTGAGATTTTGACATATGTTTAGTTGAAGCCACTCTGCGGAGTATTCTTTTGAAACCGACGCCCTCCTTCGTCTTTTTCGCACTACTCTGAGGGTTATGATCCCCTGTACCTGGCATGGTAATGTTCCAGAGTATTAGGGGTTAAGCCTGTAGTTGTGAGCCTGTACAATACCTGTCGGGTCCTTTGTACGTCCTTAAATACCGTTCTTTGCTGAAACACACTGATGCTTGATGTACTGAACCTGTCTAAATCCCATCACGCATCAACGCGTTCGAGCAAAGAAAGAAAGAAGCTTCTTTCCACGCGTCGCCATCGAAACGCTCGTCGATTTGCAGGTAACAGCAAAGCAGTGGCGTGGCGATCCGTCGCCTTGAATCCTCACATGTTATCAGAATGGAGGCTTACGATAGGTGATCACGATGGTACCATTACTTCCAGCTAACCGGAAAAATTGCAGGCTCTATACGTTCTCGTGTATAAACCAGATACACACAGGTATTCAGTCATACACAACCTTCAATAGAAGAGCCCGAGGCCGACACCAGGGCTTTTAGCGTTCTACAAGACGGACGTGATTCCACCCGTAGAGTTGGACGTTGAGTTGAATATAGTACTTTCGACCTCGCAAACCGTGCCTCCCTTCGGAAGGGTGCCGTTTAAGAAGTAGGCACGTACGGCTTGGGTTGTACAATCTGATACGCCGGACAGGGATGTATGCTAGTACATTATGGAGTTAAATTTAATTAACGAAATAGGTCATGAATATGCAAGGTGTTTACTTACGCCCGATGCATTGCGCGTCAGTAAGACAGAGCTTGCGAAGCCTTTTGACATCTTGACTGCGCTGATAACGAGGGTATGTAAGTTGATATTAGTATTGATGAGAAGAGGATTCACTTTGCCAATGGCGTAACCGGATCTGGGCAAACGAGTATTGACAGCGTTAAATACGTAAATTGATGAACTCAACGAGTTCGTAACAATACACTTACCAGCAACGTTCCCAATGACTAGTAACGGGAAACTCGTGTTCTGTATAAAGGAACCTAATTGGGGGTGAGGATGTTTTGTGAGCGTAAAGCGGTACACCACCCACCATTGAACCGATCCTCTGCTCGAACCGTCCAACCCCTGCGGTCATATCGATCAGCGTGCTGTCTTCTAATCAGACTATCATGCTTTACAACTCACGAGCACAAAGTTTCAGCAAGCCACACCCCAGCAAATTCGGGAGAAAGTTTAGATGAAAAATCATATGCGGCTCGTGCATAGTCGATCGTTTGTACATCATCCGTAACGATATCCCCACATAGAATAGTGGACGTCACCTCTAGTGTCCCAGCAACGAACGGCTTGCCTGTCTGCACCGGACATTCATCTTCGAGGAAAGAGTGGAACACACTTTCGCTCGAACTCTGGTAAATTAGACTCGGATTCCCTTGCTCTAGTGCAGCGAGACCCTCTGTGAGAAGCGCACCGGACTCATACGGAAAGTAGAGTGCCTCAAATATTTGACTGCGAACAGTTGCGTAGTCGACGACGGCCGAGTTAATTGCGGTGCTGTTGAAAAGCAGGACAGGTTCGATGCGTAGTTTGTTTAGAAGGTTTTCAATACGCGCATGGACTTGAGCGGTGGTGTTCTCGAATATGGGACAGACGGATGGACCAGCCTGGACACATGCATCAAGGATGTTAGTGTACGTTTTGTCCATGTCCAGAATAAAACCAGTCCAGTTGCCTAGGATTATTGATCATCTTCGTAAGGGAAGTACCAGCTTCGGATCCTATCTGTTAACTCACCCTTATAGTATTCGTTGGCGTCCACAACACCATCGATAACAAGACGACCGACTTTGTCCTAAAAACTTGGTCATCTTTGAACCTGACACGACGCAGCATGAAGTGACGCACAGGAAACATTGCAGCGAAGCTTCGTCAGGAAGCAGGTAAGCCATGGGCAAGCAACTTGAAGCAAGTGCATTAGACGAGAATCACTCACGTTGCTCCAATAACGGTCCCATATCTGGGCAAATTATCAGTAGGGCAGTAGCACGCACATACAAACCGACTAACGAAAAGCCCCAATATTGTAACTTATCAAAACCAGCCGCTTTGACAATACTAAGCATATCATGAGCCACAGTAGGCGTCGACACTGTCTTCGCTACATCTAAGGCGCGTTCTTCGACAAGCTTCCCCAACAGTGTTTGCTGCGCGAATGATCTTCCCAGGGAAGATTCAGTCGCGTTTATGTCTAGCTCGCGCTGTGTGAAGAAGGCCCCAGCTTCAACTGAGTCTTTGAAAACCGATATAGGCGGAGTGGTGAATCCAACACCTGGCCGAGCAATATGTAATTAGTTTACATAGGGCTTCTCTGTCAGTACTTTCAGTACCTCGTGGGTCAAATGCAACGATATCAAACTCCGGGCCGAGAGCCGCCTGAAACGAGGGTCCAAATTCGAGAGCCACCTCGACTCCCGAGCCGCCAGGACCACCTAAATAGAATTATTGCACGTCAGTCGAACGCGACTCGTCGATTAAATTTATACCTGGGTTGAACAGAATCGGGCCTTTATAATTCTCATCAGCGGTCGACAAATTAGATGGTAGCCTGATCAGTGCAATAGCGGCTTGGCCTCTCGAAGGGTCAGAGTAAAGCATAGGCACCTTGAACAGATATACATTACAGTCATAAAGTGAAGATTTGATATCCTCTAGATCAAAACGTACCGCAAGCCGGGCGCATTGGAACGTGCCATAGCAGCTTTCCCAGTTCAAAGTCGTTGAGGGTGCAAGCTGCAAGAATACCGTCAGGGAGGCTGATTTCGAACAAATTCGTCAGCTCACACTTGTCCAGTTGAAGGACGTTAGGTCGCGTGCGTACACGCGATGACTCGAGCCTGCGCACGTATTAGAAGCGAGAAAGCACAACAAGAATAAGCCCGACACGAGCGATGATACTATGCGAGGTAAGAACGAGTTTCTGGGAATAGACATCCTGCAGGATACTCGTATCAACTGAACAAAGAGATGCGAGATTGATTCTTGTGGGTCAGGTCTTCGTATATATAAGTCCTTGAAATAGCTCTCTGCGAAAGCTAGATCCATCCGCTGCTGGTAATGTCGTTTGTCATCTATGCACTGCGGGAACGCCGTAACAGCGCTGATCCATGATGGATACTACGGCGCAGCAAATTCCACTCAATCGCTAAGAATGCGCACTGATGCACCTGCGGTGTACATATGACTTTGCTCTGATTAGAAGCTAGGAAGGTAGTCATCCGTACAGATTTATTGTTTTGTCATCGGTCCGAGCGGGGCCATCAAGAAAGCAGAATACCAGTATATCAAATACTAATGAACGGGGAAGTATGAGAAACATTTGACCCGATTTCACGTCTCAGTAACTCCTGTAGGAGGGATTCGCACATAGGCTTCATGTGCCGGAATCAGCTACTATGGGAGCACCGTTCCGTTGTACACGATTTCGGCGTATTCTGCCCGCCGATTGCAAGTTGCAGAAAAGTTAAGACCTTTGGAATGCCGGGAACATTGCGATAAAGAATCGTGTATTTCGTTAACGATTAAAGTCTACAGCGCCTTGCAGATCCTAAGTTTGTGAGAGTTGTATAGACAATTCTCTGAGTACTTCTTTGGAGGTAACCTCTTCACCGCTTCAGGTTGTCCGAAATCGCGGCGAATAGAAGCTCCCTTGGTTATACGGTCGTTTGTGATTTCGGAGGGTTTGTTGTTCCGTGATCTGAACACCAGTCTGAGGTACAGAGGTGTCTTTCTTGCGGGCAAGGTATGATAATGCAGACGTAATACTGCGGGAGACAGCGCCTCTATGGACCGCGCGAAGGAGCGACATGGTAGTTACTAAGTTAGCGTCGAAAGGGTAACTATGTTACGGTGTAACCTGTGTAGGACATGCGTACGTAAAGGTCGGCCTGGCAGTTTCCGAGCCGGCCACGCTTGTTACTCAACCGCGTTGCACCCAGGATCGCACAATTTAAGGGTTATTGCCAATTTTTAATTCTCCACAGCGTATGTACATTATAGAATCTCTGTCTTTGCGAAGTCGATCATCTAAGCTACCAACTAATTAACTTAATCATTTTAAGAGATAAACAAAACAAATCGTTTTTTTAAATACAAATTCTATTAAATTTACAAATTGGTTACTCAAGAAAAATGTACAGTCAACATAGCTTACCAGAAACACACAACTGTAGGAAAATATCCTTCAAGCATTGGTTAGTAGGTTCTATACATCCAAATTATATGTCAATTTCTCTCTAAAAGTTATTTTAAGTATATATATTAGATTGTGTTTGTGGAATTTTATGTGTATGTTTAATTTTGAAAGTCAAGAAATTGGACAGCTCATTCAGCCTAATATGTTGTAAGAGCGGGAGTTTCTTCTAACTATAAATATCTTACTTCTGCTGTTTTCCACATAAAATGCAAGGCCAAGCTAGGCCTCTGGCAATCATTTTCACTTAAAACTGCATATATAAGTCAACACCAATAGTGATTACTTATATGGCTTTTTCAGAGGAATCAAGCAAGAAATGACTAAGGGCTGACAGGATGGTGTAGTTTTAGATTTGTGCATAAGTGTACGCAAGACAGTATTTATGTATAGCCCAGGGTCTCTTTTCCCCTTGAAAAAGTTGTCTACACACACTGTTATTCCCTAACATTACCACGCTCAATGTATTTTCTCAGGCCTGTGTATCTTTCCTTGTGCTTTCCTCGTGTCCTATTCCTAAAGCGCTCTTCGGACAGAGAGTTACAGCATAGGATCGCGAAAGTCCTACTTCTCCCAGCTAGTTGAACAACAGTAGGCCCGATACATTCTCGTGGACCAAGTAGATACATATCTTGTCAGACGCACATAATCCTTTTCAGAAAAGCCCCCGTCCAATGCCACGATGTTTAATTCTCTGCAAGACGGACGTAATTCCACCCATAGAGCCGGATGGTGAGTTGAATATAGCACTTTCGACTTCGCAGACCGTGCCTTCCTTCGGAAGGGTGCCGTCTGCAAAGTAGGTACGTACGGCTTGAGAAGTACAATTTGATACGCCGGACAGCGATGTATGCTAGTACATTGGGGAGTTAGTTTAATTGGCGGATTAGGCCATGAATATGCAAGGTGTTTACTTACGCCCGATGCATTCCGCGTCAGTAAGACGGAATTTGCGAAGCCTTTCGACATCTTGACCGCGCTGGTAGCGTGTATTGCGTAAGTTAATATCGGTACCGATAAGAAGACGATTCACCTTGCCAATGGCGTGACTGGATCTGGTTCAAGAGATTTGATAAGGTCAAGCTCGTATGTCGATGAACTACACGAACCAGTTACGAAGCACTTACCAGCGACGTTCCCGATGACTAATAACGGGAAACTCGTGTTCTGTATAAAGGAACCTAATTGGAGGTGAGGGCGTTTTGTGAATGAAAAATGATACACCCCCACCGTTGAACCGATCATCTGCTCGAACTGTCCAACCACTGAGACCGTGTCGGTCAGATCATTGTCTTCTAATTAGACCATCGTGCAGTATAACTCACGAGCACAAAGCTTCACCAAGCCACACTCCCGCAAATTCGGGAGAGAGTTTAGATGCGATATCATAAGCAGCTCGTGCATCACTGATGGTCTGTACATCATCCGTAACAATATCCCCACACAGAATAGTCGATGTGACATCGAACACACCAGCCACAAATGGCTCGCCGGTCTGTGCCGGGCACTGTCCCTCAAGGAAAGCGTGGAACATACTTTCGCTCGAACCGTGATAAATTGGACTCGCATTACCTTGCTCCAGCGCCGCGAGCGCCTGTGTGAGGTTTGCACCGGAATCATATGGAAAGTAGAGTGTCGCCAACATTTGATCTCGAACAGTGGCATAGTAGTCAACGATGGCCGAGTTAATTGCGGTGCTGTTGAAGAGCAAGACAGGCTCGATGCGCAGTTTGTCCATAAGGTTCTCAACGCGAGTATGGACTTGGGCAGTGGTGTTCTCAAATATAGGACACAAGGATGGCCCAGCTTCGACACATGCATCAAGGATATTAGTGTATACTTTGTCCATATCGAGAATAAACCCGGTCCAGTTGCCTAGGTTGATAGTGTTCATCAGAGACATGTTAGTTTTGGATTCCATTTATCTACTTCACGTTACCCATGTAATACGCCTCGGCGTCCACAACACCGTCGATGATTAGGCGGCCGACATTGTCCTAAACACTTGGTCACCTTTAATGCAGCCCGACATAGCACGAAGTAACTCACAGGAAACATCGCAGCGAAACTGTGCCAGGGAACAATAAGATATCGTAGACAAGCAAATATACTCGATAACAGCCACTTACGTTGCTCCGAGAACGGTTCCATAGCTGAGCTAATCATAAGTATGATAGTCCACGAACATACGGAACAACTAACGAAAAGCCCCAATATTGTAATTTATCATGTCCGGCCGCTCTGGTAATACTGAGCATATCATGAGCTACTGTGGGCGTCGACACTGTCTTCGCTACATCTAAGGCGCGTTCTTCGACAAGCTTCCCTAACAGTGTCTGCTGCGCGAATGATCTTCCCAGGGAAGATTCAGTCGCGTTTATGTCTAACTCGCGTTGTATGAAGAAAGCTCCAGCTTCAATTGAGTCTTTGAAGACCGATATAGGCGGAGTGGTGAATCCAACACCTGACCACGTATCATGTGAAATTAGCACACCTAGATATTTATTATTTTAATAGTGTAGGTACCTCGTGGATCGAATCCGACGATATCGAACTCCGGGCCGAGCATCGTCTGAAATGAAGTTCCTGTTTCGAGAATGAACTGCACTCCCGAACCGCCAGGACCACCTGAAAATTTGAAGGTCACTCGGGTGCCTCTATTAGAATACAGCCATCAATCGCACCTGGGTTGAACAGAATTGGCCCCTTGTAGTTCACATCGGTGGTAGATAGATTAGATGGTAGCCTAATTAGTGCAACAGCAGCTTGATCGCTTGATGGGGAAGAATAAAGCATAGGTACCTAAAAAAGAAATACAGTATCGTCAAAAAATGAAACTTTTGCATCATCGACACTGAAACGTACTGCAAGTCGGGCGCATTGGAAAGTGTCGTAGCAGCTCTCCCAGTTCAAAGTCGTTAAGGGTGTAAGCTGCCAAGAATGTTGTCAGCGGACCGATCGTAAATAAACTCTTCGGCTCACGCTCGTCCAGTTGAAGGTTGTTGGGTCGCGTGTGAATATCTGATGACTCGAGCCAGCGCACGTTGCAGAAGCAGGAAAGCACAACAAGAGGCTCAATGCAGGCATTGACAATATTCCAGACGAAAGTAAGCTTCTGGGGGTAGACATCCTGCTGGATACTCGCATCATAGTTGGATGAAGAGATACTGGATACACTCTTCGTGGAACGAGACGCCGTATATATAGTCCTTGAGACACTGCTCTGCGGCAGTCAGGCTTCTTCATTGCTGGTGGCGTAATTGGGTTCCTATGTATTAGAAGAGCGCCGCAATAGGCTGATTCTTGATGGACAATGCAGTATAGCAAATTCTACTCAATTGCTGTGAATGTTTGCCGCGATGCATCGTGGACGTATGTATGACTTCGTTCTTGGTGAGAAGCTAGGACGGCAGTCATCTGTCCAAGGCCTTTGCTTCATCGTCGGTCCGCGTACGGCCATCAAGAAAATAGAATACCAGTAGCTTCAAATAACAATGAACAGGGAAGCCTGGAACACCTAGCATGCATCTGTATGCCTCGGCAATTCCTTTACTGAGGATTCGCGGATCGACTTCAGATGCCCCAGATCGGCCATTAAAAGTACCATTACGTCGAACACGAGCTTCGGTGTGGTATACAAACCAATTTGCTGGTCGCAAAAAACTGAGAATGTTGAACTGTCGGGATAGCGAAGAATAAGCGGAATAGAACCGTATGTTCATGACAATTGTAGTCCATCCCGTCTTGCAGATCCTAATGCATAGATAGTTTTCTCAGTAGTCCTTTGGAGGTATCCTCTTCATCGTTTCGGGTTGTCTAGAAATCGCAGTGAATGGAAACTCCTTGGTGTTGTGATTTCGGAAGGTGGTTGTCCCGTGACTTGAATACCAGCCTGAGGCGTGGGGGTGCTCTCCTTGTGAGCAGGACATGATAGTAGGAATATGTAATACTGTGAGAAGCAGCACCTCTATGGACTGTGCGGAGGTACACCACGGCGGTCAGTGACGAAAAGCAACTAGCAAACGTAGGACATGCGCTATCCCGGCAGTCTCCGAGCCGATCCAAAGATACTGCTGCATCTCTGGGCCTGTAAGCTCAGATTCAAAACAATTCCCATTGCCAGCATTATGTACCTCATTGTCTCCATAAGCTTATACTTCCTACCCCAGATACATTGGCCAACGAGGAAATGCTCATTCATGCCAGTGCACACTAAAAAATCATCCCTTTTTATTTGAATAAAAATTTATACATATAGCTAGTGCTTGTATTGAATATTTTATTATTTACATATTTGAGCTTTAAAAAATTGAGCAAAACATGAAATATTAGACTTAGAGTAGTGCAAAAATTGTACCTAGCTTGAATTCTATAAATAGGACAAATTGCTATAATAAAATATTGTCATTTTACAACATTATGCATATGTGTAAGACATGCAAATTTCTCAATTTAGTATTTATAATAAATACACAAAATACCTCTCGGGTACACAAAAGTAAATATTTATTGATTTTCAAAGTATAAAAAAATTGTTTAAGAGTTAGTAATAACTCTCAAGGTAAGGGCTCAAGTTGTGTTGCAAGGTGGCTGTCTTTTCTCATAAGTGAGTACTAGTGTTTCCTGGTCAAGTGTTTTAAATACCCAATTTTCAATCTTCTCAACAACAAACTCATCTTTACACTTTTAGCACAATCTTCCTAATATAAAGACATAAGATGTGTATAGTAAATGTAAGCTTATCTCCTGATAATAATTTCTAGCACAAAAGTAGTTTATATAGTTTACAGCAGCTGAGAACCCTTCTATAACTCAGAGTCTCTAGGTTTCTTGTAAAAGTCGCTCACACACCACTGCTATTCGTTCACATCACTACATTCATTTCATTTTATCGGGTATGTATACCCAGCCTACGTGTCTCTCTTCGTGTCTCCTACTCCATTTCTGAAGTGCTCTCCAGACGGAGGTTTACAGTACAAGATCACGAAAGTACCACTACTTCCAGCCCGTTGAACACCAATAGGCTCAATACATCCTCATGTATTAGCCAGACACACAATATTGTATCAGAGAAGCCCGTATCCAACACCACGACGTAGAACTCTCTGCACCACAGACGTAGTCCCACCCTCAGAGCCGGACGTCGAGTTAAAAATCGTACTTTCTACTTCGCAAACCGTGCCTTCTTTGGGTAGGGTACCATTCATAAAGTAAGCGCGCATAGCTTGGGTCGTACAGCTTGATGCTCCAGATAAGGATGTATGCTAGTGCATTATGGAATTTGGAGTTAAGTGAATTCGGTTGTGAATGTTACAAGACGTTTGTTATACTTACGCCTGTACCGTTCCGCGTCAACACGACGGAGTTTGTAAAGCCTTTCGACATCTTGAACGCGCTGATAGCGTGCATTTCGTTAGTCGACCTTTGTGCATGTCAGCGGGGAGAGAGAAAAAATACCTTGCAAGTGGAGTGACCGGGTCTAATCCGTGAATTTGAGTTATCGTAAGTTAGTATGTTGATGAACTCAACAACCTAACAAAAGCCTCGTGACGAGATACTTACCAGCGGCGTTCCCAATGACCAACAACGGGTAGCTTGTGTTTTGTATAAAGGAACCTAGTTCGAAGTGAGTATTTCTCGAGAAAAGAATACAATCTTAACAATACCCACCATTGAATCGATCCTCCGCTCGAACTGTCCAACCACTAAGATCATACCAATCAGCACATTATCTTCCCGTCTAACCAAATCATCCTGCAGCATAACGTATAACTCACGAGCACAACTGTCCACTTAACCACGCCCCCGCAAACTCCGGAGAAAGTCCCTTCGAAAACTCATACGCAGCACGTGCATACTCAATACTTTGTACATCATCCGTAACGATATCCACACAAAAAATCGTAGGGTTTGCCTCTAACACTCCAGCCACCGATGTGTTTTCAGGCTTCACCGAACATTCATCCTCGAGAAAAGCATGGAACGAACTCTCGTTCGAGTTCTGATATATTGGAGTCGCGTTACCTTGTTCCAGCGCAGCGAGTGCCCCGAGGAGAGGCGCACCAGTGTTATAGGGGAAGTAGAGCGACTGAAACATTTGATAACGAACTGTCGAGTAGTCGACTACGGCTGAGTTAATTGCTGTGCCGTTGAAATATAGGGCAGGTTCGATGCGTAATTTGTTCATAAGGGTTTCAATACGATCGTGGATTTGTTCGGTGGTGTTCTCGTGTAAGGTACACTGGGATGGCCCGGCTTCGACACATGCATCAAGGATGCTGGTGTATACTTTATCCATGTCGACGATAAAACCGGACCAGTTGCCTAGATTAGTTGATCACGGTCGTAAGAGAAAAGTTAGTTTTGGATCTTGTTTGACAGCTTACCCTTATAATATTCCTCGGAGTCTACAACACCATCAATAACAAGACGGCCGACTTTGTCAGGAAACATTGCAGCGAAACTGCATCAAGAAGCAGTAAGATGCCATACATAGCCAAATATCTTAGACAGGAATCACTCACGTCGCCCCAAGAACAGTCCCATACCTGTGCAAATTATCACCAGCACGTCACTAACCCAAACATACATTTAAAAAAAATCAATACTAACGAGATTCCCCAATACTGTATCTTCTCCTGTCCAGCCGCCTCAACAATACTAAGCATATCCCTCGCCACAGTAGGCGTCGACACAGTCTTCGCTACATCTACCGCACGTTCTTCGACAAGCTTCCCCAACAGTGTCGTCTGAATGAACGATCTCCCTAGCGAAGACTGAGTCGCATTTACGTCTAACTCTTTCTGTGTGAAGAAAGTCCCGGCTTCAACTGAGTCTTGAAAGATTGATATGGGTGGGGTTGTGAATCCTACACCTGGTTGAGTGATATGTTAGATTAGTATGCCTATATTTTTCTTTCAATGTTTTTTTTAGCAGCTCCAGTAGTTACCTCGTGGATCGAACCCAACGATATCAAACTCCGAACCGAGACCCGCCTGGAATAGACTACCTGCTTCGAGGATGACTTGTACTCCCGAGCTACCAGGACCACCTGAATAAAAGAAAGTAATCCAGGTCAATCTGAAGCGTTTTGAAACGGACTTGTCGATTAAATTTAAAATTTATACCTGGGTTAAACAGGATTGGGCCCTTATAATTCTCATCGGTGGTCGACAAATTAGATGGTACTTTAATTAGTGCAATTGCGGCTTGGCCTCTTGAAGGGTCAGAGTAAAGCATAGGCACCTTGAACAGATATACCATATTGTCAAAAGTGATGGCGTGGCATCGTCGAGAATGAAACTTACCGAGAGCCGTGCACATTGGAAAGAATCGTAGCAGCTTTCCCAGTTCAAAGTTGTTGAAGGTGTAAGCTACCAAGTATGCTGTCAGATAGATTAATCATGGACAAGTTCCTCGGCTTACACTCGTCCAGTTGAAGGATGTTGGGTCGCGTGTGTATATCCGATGGTCCGAGCTAGCGTATGTTGCAGAAGCGAGAAAGCATAACGAGAACAGTCCCGACACAAACAGTGACAATACGCAAGATGAAAAAGAGTTTCTAAGAATAGACATCCTGCAAGATACTCGTATCATGGTTGAATGCAGAGATGCTGATGATTCTTTGTCGGCCACGACTCCGTATATAAAGTCCCTGCCTGGGATGCTGCTCCGCCGAGGTCGGGTTCTTCACCACTGGTGGAGTAATTTGTCTTGCCCTCTTACTATATATATTTAGGGACAGTGTCATAACAGCGCCGATTCCTGATGGATAATGCGGCACAGCGAATTTTACTCAATCGCTAAGCCTGTGCAGTGATGCTCCTAATTAGAAGCCGTAAAGGCAGTTATTTACCCTAGTTTTATATATGCTTCATTGTCGAGCCGTGCGAGACCATCAAGAAAGCAGTATACCAGTAGCATCAGACCACAATGAACGGAGAAGCCTGAAGAACACATTGCCTTGCCGAATGCATGTCAAATCCTTTTCCAACGATTCGCATCGACTTCATATGCCAGATCTAGCCATTACGCATTACCATACCGTTAGTGCGTTCTTCCGCGAAGTCTACCAAACCAACCAATCTGCTAGGTGCTGGAAAACTGAGGACCTTGAACGACCGCGACTGATGCGCAATTAGAAGAAAAGAACTGTATATCTATGGACGAATGTAGTCTACTTCGTCTTGCAGATCCTAAGTTTATTAGGATTGTATAGATAGTTTTCTGAATAGTTCTTCGCAGGTATTCTCTTCACCGTTTCCGGTTGTCTAGTAACCGGGTGAATAGTAGGACTATGAATTGTACGGATGTACTTACACGTAGTAGTTCCAAGCTTGAACAAGTAATCAATTCAATTGTGCGCTAATTTGAGTTTAAGAATGCGAACGTACCTTGCTTCTCGGCGAAATGGATGGCATCTTCCTTGGAACGGAAGGACATACGGAGACCTTGCACATAATCCGCGCTTCATAAATTTTAGATGAGTCTCTTTCGCCAAAAACTCGCCTACTTACGAGCTTGCCCAACCCATCTGGGGATTCTCCCAACGGGCGCCTCCTTCTAAAATATCGAAATCGATCCTCCACTTTTCACCCTTGTTGCCGCCGCTCTGCATTGTGCTGCGAGTAGGCTTGTAGATGCGCACGGTGCGGCGTCTCAGCTCAGCTGATAACTCATTTAACGATGCGTTTAAATATCAATGAAAGACGCAACTAACCTGGAGCACCACTAATCATGTCTGCTGGAATCGGCTCCTTGGGTGGGACGGTCGTTGTGATTTCAGAAGGCTGTTGTTCCGTGACCTGGACACCAGTCTGAGGTGCAGAGGTACTCTCCTTGCGAGCAAGACATGATAATGAAGATGTGATACCGCGAGTGGCGGCGCTTCTATGGACTGCACGAAGGAGCGACATGGCAGTCAGTGACGAAGGTCTAGTGCAGAGGCCAGGCGCAACACTCGGCCCAACCCGGCAGTCTCCGAGCCGATCCAAAGGAAGCGCGCCTCTTGTACGGAGCTTGACGAAACGATGCTCGTCGCCAGCACTGTCCGCCGCGTCGTCTCTATGTGCCTATAGCCCACGGTCTCTACTTTTCTTGAAAAAGTCGCCTGCGCACACCGTCATTCATTTGCATCACCACACTCATTTAACATTTTCTCAGGTATGTATACCTACCTGACCTCGTGCTTCTCCTCGTGTCCCCCATTTCTGACTCCTGAGGCGCTCTTCAGTTCGCTTGCAGGCAGCTTTCCTGCTAGATACCGCGTTTCTTTAACTCAGCCATGTCGACTATAACAGCAAGACCAAAGCATGTGCGACGCCTGTCGCTCTTCGGCTTAGGGGCTCCTCAAGCGCTCTCTCAGGGCGAACAGACGCCGCGTCCGAATACGAGCACGGCTTCCATCGTGTTCTCCCTAACTACCTCTACTACAGAGACAGATGAAAAAGGCGCGCCTGGTAAGCTGCAGTCGGCCCCAGTCAGGCGAAAGCTGTCCAAGAAAAGGAAGCCTCCGCAAAAAGCACAAAGTCTTGCAGCACCCTCACCACAACCCACTACTGCCTATTCGCTTTCCAACACCCAACTATCAGAACTCAGCCATGAATCTGATATATCATTTGCTAACCATCGCAAGCCATCTCTCAGGAGAAAAACGTCCATCAATGTTCGGGCAGCACTTTCGTCTATTTTTATACCGAAGCCATCGAGGAAGACAGTGGCTGGGATCCTCGACGGCATGGACAGCATATCGGGCGGGAAGGGAAACGAAAGGGGCAGGGGCTCTGAGAAGAAAAAAACATCAACATATCGCTACGAGTCGCGTTCTCCGTCCCCTCCATCTCCGGAAATCCGACCTCCCTCTGGTCTTGGTCAGATTGCAAGCTCAGTCGACTTGTCGACGTATATCCAGGACGAGTATGAGGGGTCAGTTTTACTGTCTCGGTCCAGGACCGTTTCCAGAGCGCCTTCCATAGCGCCTTCGATAAACCTACCCGCCTCTCAAACGCCGCCTTCGGAGGATACCACCGCAAACACCAGTCCGGTAGTCAATCACACGAAGTCGCTAAAGTCGTCAGACAGCAGCAATGAATTCTCTTACCGGGCCTCGTTACACCCGCCTACTCCACCATCACCGACGCTTATTAAAGTCCTTAATCTAACAACACCTTATTGCTCGCTGGATAGCTTATCCTCGCTTGCAACCGCAAGCAAAGAGTTGACGCGCGATGCTCAGAACGCCCTATACGCGAACATAGATTCAGACGACGTAGGTGATGACGAGAAACGCAGACGAAGGCTTTTGCAAACAATAGCTAGCAATGCCGAAGTCGGAAATATCGTTAAATGTTTCCGCTGGGTCTGCTTACCCACTCCGCCTTCATCCTCCTCGTCTTCCCTAAAGCGCAACATTCCGAGACGTGTTCCGACATTCTCACTATCTACTTCATCGGAAGAATACATTCTTCCACGTGTCCTATCCGCTACGCCAAATCTCGAGACGTTGACGCTGGTACAACCTCATTCGATTATTTTACGCTGGTTTTTGCCTCTCAGTCCGTCTCCACCGCGGTCTCCCAACACTTCTCCCGTATCCCCCTCAATGCAGATGCCTCCTCCAACACTTTCCTCGCTAAGATCTCTCACACTTTCCGGGCGTACAACTCTTTCAACAACCTTCGGCTCCCTCTTAGTCCGCTTCCTCGAATTACATCCCGGTATACGCGAGCTGAACCTCCCAGATGTCTTCTGCTTACCTAACGTTCATACACTATCCCGTCGTGGTTCCGCTTCTTCCTCTTCCGCTTCTAGCCCTGTCAGCACTCCCGGCTTGGATAGTATCCCACCTGTTCCGCCATTACCGCCAGTGTATGCGTCTATGAAAGATAAAGAACCTCCCGCTCCTCCTATGCTACCGAATTTGACTCGTCTTGTGGCACCTTTGTCACTTGCGACACAGCTTATCCCGGGTCGCCCGTTACGTGTCGTCGATATTGAGCTTACGACGAGTCTATATGAAGGTCTCCGACCATCAGAGATAGTACGAGCTCTTTCCGAAGCGAGAGACGTAGCGAATCAAGCGGAAGGAACGGATGCTAACAAAAAGAACTGGAGAGCAGCACGACAGGCTCGCCGCTTCGGTCCTACTACTACCGGCACTCCTCAAAATTCCCCATCGCAAGCTAAGTTCGAAAACGACAACCTAAAATGCACAAGTTGGAAAGCAGCAAGGATAGCACGTCGTGCAGGGACAATGAACCATATGAAGCCAACACCGTCGTTGCGTGAACTCCGGTTACGATGTACTGCGAAAGTGGATGGACGGACGATTGGGAAAGTGCTTAATGCTTTGGGTGCGGAGTTGGGTTTGGTGTTGGAGACGCTTGCTATTGGGTGGAGTGGATCTGAGGCTGTTAGTTGTTTCTCTAATTTTCTAATCCGTAATAATTTTATTCTGATTGATTCTTTGTGAATAGGAACTTAACTCACAACTAACCTCCGTACTACCGCGCTACCACGTCCTACAGCGTCTCGACATCTCCAAAACTTCAGTCGACGTCGAAGACGAAGAAGGTGCAGACGAGCAAGATTCGGAAGCCGATATACAAGCTGGAATCACTCGAGAACGGTATTTAGTTGAACAGTGGTCGCGTTTATGTCCACAGCTTTCGCACATCGAGTTTACGTCTGGACGTATTTGGAGGGCGAGCTAGGATTATTTTTTCCATTTTCTCGAGGATTTTGGTTAGGGCTTTCGGATACTACTTACAACTGACATAGTCTCGTCCGTGACGAGCCGGAGATTATCCTTCTACATAATCGCATACGCAAATTCGTTTCTATGCGACTACGCAGCATCGTTCCTTGTGTTTTTCAACCGCTGATCTCTACAGCTGACATCATTGGTTTTTTGTTTTGATTTGAATATTGTGTCCGTCCCGCAATAGCTCATATTTCATTCGCTTGTAATCATACAGATTTCAATTTCTTTTTTTATACACACGTACGTACATAGCTGATATTCTCTGTCTCGATGACAGAGCTGTTTTCGAATAATATGGAATTTTTTCAATGGAATTTTTCGCGCTCGATAATTCTGTCTCTGTTATGCAGCGCGGTGTTTGTGGTGTGAACAGGTTTGGTATTGTCAATGGCAGGCGAAGGTCTGATTCAGAATAATAACTGCATATTGATATTGATGTAATGAGTCGACAATCTGATGGTAGCCGATTCTTTGAATCAGCGGCTTGTCCCCCGCCGGTAAACACGCGACAGCACGCGACCTTCATTACCTCTTTACTGACCTAGTCTGTCTGTCCGTTGCATTCCTCCTCTCCTTTCCTTCAAACTATTATTCGTCTCTCGGACAATCCGGGAAACGACTCATTGGCCTCAACCGCCTATATCCCGAATTTCAACCGAAGGAGGTCTGGAGGTCTGGACCTTACACAAACATTGAAACAAACAGTCGCGCGTCGCCCTGCTTACGAGACCGTCCTCCGCTAACTCCGTCCCACAATTGTTAGGAGCTCGAATTCACCATAAGCACATATTCTATCACTTGAAACGAGGTGGAAGAAACCTGAAACACGATACATATGCCTGGAAATCCCACCGATGGAGGTCTTGTCGTTCCTCGGCCGTCAATGGACGGGATGTCCAATTCCAATGACATCGCGCTCTCTGCAACGACCACTGTAGCAAACGGTTCATCTTGGGTAACTGTAGACGGTAGCGGTAGTGGCCGCACTCTATCAACCAGGCCATCAAATATGACGCTTGTGAATGATAGGCCACAACCTGAAAGTGGCATCGAGATATCGTTTCCGGAATTGGACGGGAGAGAACCGACTGAGCAACTTGATACGTTGAAAGATATGTTGGAGAAGGCGACGCGTTTGAAAGAGGGTGCGGTTAACTTTTTGAAGATGAACATGACGGTACGTGGCTTTCTAGTGGACGTGGTTGAGGATGGATTACTAAGTTCGTATTGACGTACTACATAGGACGGGGTACGCAGTCGCGTTGAGACTGAACTTGAACAAGCAAACAACAGGATAGACGCGATCAATAAAGCGATGGACTCAAGTAAGTACCTCAGCGGTTTGTCGAAGGTGGAGCTATAGTCTAATATGTTTAAAAGTTAATTCGCGACGGAAGAAGCCACTTGGGGCTCGTCTTCAATCTCCAGTAGCTGGAAAGCGACGTCGTGATCACGGGCATTCACGACAAAGAGACGATGGAGGCGGTAAGTCTTATGGTTGAAGTCGTATGTGTTCTTGGTTCTCACTACCGGTGGCAGAGGACTTCCGAACTGCCAAACAGCAAGCGATAAATCTCCTCAAAACGCTGCTTGCCTATGCGCGCAACCCACTATCCCCTGCTTCTGTACCACCTGCTTCTTCATCTGTGGGACCACCACCACCAGCCACGGAAGCAGACCTGGAGAAGGCAAGGGTGGAGACGATGAACCGGCTGATCACGGTTCTACAACGCAACGTGCGCGTGCGCTTCGAAATTAATATGGAAGAACTTGTCGCTGCGGTATCGCCATCCCTTGCAGACCAAGCGTCCGGGAGAGCACGAGCCACGGCATACCGCCTGCTTAAGCATTCTCTAGTAGATCGCGACTCCGTCGAACGGCTGCTTGAACATTCGCTTGACTGGTACATCGTCAAGTCCCTAGCTCGCGACAACAAATACGCAGGCGAGCGCGAGCAAGTCATCAAGTTCATACGTACAATCATCGAAGTAGGGTCCGAAAGACGCGCTTCACACATGGCAGCAGGCATGGGACGCGTACCGCTTTCAGAACCCGTCATGCGTGCACTGATCGCAGTGGCGGAGCATCCGGAAGATCCACTCCGGCAAATTTGTTGCGAAACACTGGTAGAGATCCGTACGTTGCTTCTATCTCATCGCTCGCCTGATCGCGTTTTCAAAGATTAATCCTTTGTTTTGTTTGATTTGACTCTTTCTAGTGCTGATCGACGTGGACTTGATGGCATGGACGGGTGGCACCCGCGTACTGTTTCAGGCGTTATCTGAGGGTCCTGTAGAGCTTATTCCGTTGATTGCCACGGCCTTCTTGTACATCATTGATGCGCCAAAGACGAGGGTGTACATGCATCCGGGTACTGATTTGGAGGTGGGTTCCACCGGAATAAATTGCCTCGTAAGACGTATTTACTGTTTGACTAGATTGCGCTTTCTGGTATTACAGATGCCTACGGCAAAGGCAACGCTCATGTGGAACGTATGCAGAGTGCTGTAAAAGTCGCCTGCACAATTCTACGGAGCTGGAGCGGTGCGTACAAAAATATTATCCAGGTCTTTAATTCAACACTCATTTAAATTTGGAACAAATAGGTTTGATGTATCTTTGCTTGGATGATATGCTAGCCGTGCGAACGTTAGTCAATACACTTCGAATACCTTCACTTGATACTAGGGTACGTTGTATATTTACAGTGCGTGAGCCTATTACACAAGACTGAATGATTTGATATAGGAGATTATTCTGGACATGTTTTTTGAGCTTCTGAACATCGAGACACCGGAATGGTATCAGACGTTCATTGATGGACGAAGATTAACAAGTGCGTAATTTGATTGGGTTAAACATATATTCCGATAAAATGAATCTGATGGGTTTGTAGTGTACCGACGACATCGGCCTATGTCACACCCTTCGTCGAAAGCGAAAGAAAATCCGGTTAAGAGTACAGATAAGCTGAAGCTTGCCGACCAGTATCTCGCGCTCTTGACCATGGTCTTGACGAAGGCTGGTCTGTTGGAGGTGAGTAGAACTTTTGATGGCTTTAAATTAGAGTGTATCTGACGGTGTGTAATCATGATGCAGGCCCTTATCTCTATGCTAGAGGAGACGACACTCGGTTCTAGCTTGACACGAAAAGCAACACTTTTGGTCGGCGAGATACTTGAAATCGCAAATAAAGTGCTTCCGCTCAGTTCGGCTGCAAAGTTACAGGTATGAGAATATAGCAATACGATCCGATCGAGATGTTTTTGTTCTCATAAGTATGATATTATAGACGATTCCTCAGGTATTTTCGTTGTCTGCAGATTATACAGATGCAGAGCATCGTATCGTCGGGACGACCGCACTCGCTGCAATAGACAGTTTCAATCGCCATAGGTCAAGATTGCAACCTGCAATTCCGAGTGTCAGGGACTCCAGACAACGGTTTGTGTTTTTTCTTTTGTTATGCATCTCATTTCATTTACTTTTGTCTGCAGAGCGAATTCCGTTGAGGACCACGTCCGTCGTGGACAACGGCAAGTTGAACAAGTCAAGATAAAACTAGCGATGCAAATGGACGACAAGACGTTTCAGGCGTCTATCATCGAAACTCAAGTTATGCTAACGAGGGACTATACGAAATGGAATTACGATGTACTGTTAGACCTCATTGAAGGCCCGTTACTCAACGCGAAACGGCTTGAGGAAGCGATCAAAGTATCAAAATTCGTTAAACGCCTTATGACTTTCTTCCATCCGGAGAGTCGTCGTTTTTCGGAAATTCCCAAGAAGCCGAAGGTATTTATTCGCTACGTTGTCCTTCGTACTGGTCAGCACTGATAATACTGATAACCTGCGATGCCATATAGACAAACCTGAAATGGGTTAAGTTGGGCTGTACGTTGTTAACGACGCTGATGGCAAATCGTGATGGTGTGAAGTTCCTTGATACGGACGACGAGTTTCTCCCGCAGATCGTGAAGGGACTTCGTCAATTGGATCCTGTGAGCCCCGAAGTCATTTTCCACAACTAATCGTTCTGAAAAATTTCACAACAGCTCTATGGACCAAACGCTGCACCAGACTATGACCCTATTTTCTCAAAGAAAAGAGTAGAAGAGACATTAACGGCTGGGTACCTCGAGATGCTTGGTACGCTTAGTAGGCACAAAGAAGGCCTTGAGTAAGTCTTGTTTATCATATTAGGTCATATCCGCTGACCCCCGTTCAAGGCTTCTGGAGAAGCATAAGGTGTTTACGTGCTTCTATCGCATGAGCGAACTACGTAGTCGAGAGGATTTGATGAAAGGAATCATCGAGAATATCGATTATACAAAGTTCGTTAGCCATCTCCGTAGAATTAACAACTCATACTCAAATTTTCGCCGTAGTGACGGGCATCCTCGTATCGTGCTCTCAAAAGCACTAACATCAAATTACAAGGTTTGTATTCTTTTCTACTCGCGCGACGCAGTGACTAATCAAGATGCAGCATATTCGCCTCTTCGCAACACGGCACCTCGGAAAACTCATCCAAGCTAGTCCCACCGCGAACGCATGGATGCTGCGTCTGCTCCTGACACAACTATACGATCCCGACAGAAGTGTATGCGAGCTTGCAGTGCAGCTGCTTGAAGAAGCGTGTGAATCACACGACGTCCTCGAGATTGTCGTGGATATGCAACCGACGCTTGAGCACTTGGGGGAAATAGCGAATACTTTGTTATATAAGTAAGTAGCGAAGTCCTGTTTTCCGGGATGTATGCTGATGTTGATTGGTTTAGATTCATGTCGACACCTGTTGGGTTTCGCTATTTGTATGAGGTTGGCTTTATTGAACGGGAGATGGATGCGTGGCTTCACGTAGGCGTTGTTTCTTCGTGATTAGACTGTCATGCTCACCTTCATGTTTAAAGGAACGTAACTTCAACTATGTTATTGAAGTCGAACTATATCTCTCCCGTGAACTTAATTTCAACTCTACGGAGGATGATGAAGAAGCGTACGATTGTTTACTTTATTTTGAAGCACACGAACACTGATTGGTGATTTCTTAGACCCGTGGATACTTCAGTACCTCCCCACTTTTACGGAGAATTAGCAAAGACCGACTCAGGCTGTCAAGTTTTGCAAGAGAAAGGACACTTTGCGGAGTTCGCGCACTTCATACGGCAACATGCATTGGAGAGTGATGACTTCGAGATCATCTTTAGATTGAAGAGTGTTCTTTGGGCGGTTGTCAGTACTTTTTCTTTCTTAATCCTAATGTCAATTCAAAAGTTTAAATAGGGCAATGTCGCATCGGGAGTGGGAGGTCTGACCTTCCTTATAGAGGAAGAAATTCTCCCAGTCATGCTAGAAATTGCGGAAAGCTCGCCGATATTGTCGGTTAGGGGGTGAGCTTTCTCTCTAAACTGTCTGTTTACTAAGAGGCTGACAGTGATAATGTAGCACCTGTTTCTTTGCCTTGGGTTTGGTGTCGTCTACTGCGCAAGGAGCGGAAATTTTGGATGATTATGGTTGGGAAGCGACGCTTTCACCTCTTGGAGCTCCGACTGGGATATGTCTTCCCGAAGACTTAGAGGGATTTCTGGCAGTGAGTTGCCTAATTTAATGAAAATTGTGCATTCTTTGACTCTGTTGTACAGATTCCTCGATGGACAGATCCAGAGCCGACCAAGAAGCGTGGGGAGCTTGTGTCTCCGACGTCGCAGGAAGAAGTAGATATCTTGACCGCAATCGGGAACTTAGCAAACACGGTTATTGCTAACACTGCATCTCGTTCCCTTGCTAAGTATGTTGCTTTACCCTATCAAGCTAATAATCGGAAGACTAATGGAATTAACGCTAGGATGAAATCGAAAGCCGAGTTCCGCAGCGTATTCTCTTCACCATCTCTATATTATCGTGTCTTGCACATGATCTCGACTCAACGTTTCCGTCTGCCCGTGAGGCGGTACATTCTTGACCTATTCGACGTCCCACTTGACGCGAACGTCGTGCGATCGCTATCTGCTTACTCCAAAGCACTTGCAGAGACTGGTGCAAAACTCTCGCCGAACAAAACTCGTCCACGCTTACAACCACGTGTCAGCGTCTTCGGACGTCCAGCCCGGGGGCAGAACCCTAGGGAAAGCGATGATAGCGAGAGCATGGACTCTTCGGAGGACGAAACGCAAGTAAAGAAACCACCTACTGAGCGACCTGTCAGCTTGATGCCTGCGAAGAGGATCTCGGGCTTTAATGGTGTCGATCAGGACGAGTTGGTGAAAGAGAAGGCGAGAGAGGTGGCTGCGAAGAAGGAACGTGAGTTGGAGAGGATGATTCAGCAGAATCAGGGAACGGTACGTGCGAGGAGTAAGAGTGGAGGGAGTTGGAAGTTTAAGAAGGTTGTGACGGAGTCTGATGATGATGAGTTTATGAGCTGATGAGTTGACGTGACGATGCTGGATTGATGAGTGATGCTTGATACTTGATGATTGGATGGTTGATGGTTCTCAATGATGCTGCATGGACTTGAAAACTGGATGAACGCGTTTTCGGGCTTTGTGTTCTGGACTTTTATGCTTCATGATTTGACGATTCGCACGAACTGGACGCACTGTATATTAGACAGACATACCACGAGTTTAACATTAACAACTCTTTTGAACAATAACAAAGCATTTATCAACAGGAGTGGGGAGGCATTTTTAAGTGGACCACAATTAGAGAATGAAGGCAAATAAGACAGCACGTTTGGACGACAAAGTCACGGTCAACAGGAGTAGGGAGTACCTTTCAATAAAGGTAGCCACAGTTACAATCAGGAAAGAGGTACAAGGTGGGACGAACGAAAGGAACACAGCAAATGGTAACTTATCAAGAGTATTTGAAGATCGAAAGTACATGATTGAAAACATGACGCAAAGCAAATTCAAACAGAATACAGCAAGGACAGCAATTTCAAGCTCAGTAAACAATTCAGGAACACAAAGATAACAAAGGAAAACTAAAATTCTTGCACGGAACTGAAGGTGTGGAGGGAGGAGGGGTGGGTACTTTTAACCGAAACTCATTTTTCAACAGGTCGAAGCTCATTTTTAGCAAAGTTCTCCTCAGTCATCTGAAGGGAGGCATTTTGCAAGATTTGCGCGCGGGATACGCAAGCGACCGAGTTCGCTCTCGACTTCAGCAATAGCCATTGTATTTTTCGCCTCAATGTTATTCTCACAGCCGTCACTTAGTTCGTACCGGCTCATATGGTCCTTAACGAACGCGCGTACCTTCCAACGTTGTCCCTTAAGTGCCGGACCGTCGTCTTCGTCGCGGATGACGACAACGTGATCACCTGGTTTCTCGGGTAGAACGGGGACCAGGTAACGTGCTGGTATGTTTATCCTCATGGCATTTGAGTCCGTGCTGTCAGAATAAGGCTGTTCAATGTCGTTCTTATCCTTGGACGTAACCAACTTGATGTATGCATAGGGTTCGTATACAGGTCCAGATATGTAGCAAATTCGGCCAGTTTCTCCCTCAAATTTTCCATACCACAATTTGCATGCAACAGTTCCCCAGACACTCATTATGACGTCTTTAAGCACTGTACCATGCAAATCAGCATCAAAACTCCAGTGCTTGCCATTACTCTCAGCTATATATTGAATGGATGATAGATCAATTTGGTTTCTGGTATTTCAGACATTGGGAATGCTCACTGAGGGAGTTTTTAAGACTGGAAACATTGTCTTTAACACGACTAAGGCTGTGTCCCACCTGTTTTGTGGCGAGTTCTTGTAGCACAAGGGCAGCCTCCACATCTGTGTCTTGGGGAACAGGCTCAACAGTAGGATCCCTCACTGTTGTACCTTTCTGAGTTGCTGCCTGCATAGTAGGTGTGGAAGGGATAGTCTCATAGATGGTATCTTTCCTGCAAAGATTCTTTTAGTTCCGTCTACAATGCTTTATGAGACTGACTATCTTACGCCTTCTTCTGTCTCTTAGTTGTCTGTCTATACCTCTTATCACATTGCTCATGTTTCCCCAGAGTCGATTCAGCTGCTAATTGCTCCAGGAGGAACCTGACTGCTTGAATCATGACTACCTGATCCCTTCTAATTTTCAGCCGGTATTTAGTATCCTTAAAGTCTCCAAATGAACCAAGGACGCCTGCAAGCTTCACGGGATCAAACTTGTTGGACTCATTAACTCCGAGTGGCTCCAGACAGAGGACAGGGTCGAGCTCATTGGAGCGGAATTGGTCGTAGGCAGAAGACATTTTTGGGAGCACAGTTACGCCAGGCCGCGGTGAAAATTTGTTGAGGGTCCAGGAAAGGCGTACACTTCCAAAAGCGGGTGCGCCTTGATGATGGACCACATGGGCGGAGATTGAAATCACGAACTCCGCACAAACTCTATATCTTTAGTTTCATGACGTCACGCGTTAAGTCTCAGCATCATACGGTAATAATACTTGCTCACTCTCGCCGCCCGTCTCCGACAATGCGGGTATTATATAACTTGGAGAGCCATCTCTCCAACTTACTATCAACAACGCCTTCAAGGTGTTCTAGAGTATGCTTAACCCGTCCGAGAAAACCATAGGCGCAAAGCCTTTCAAGGTCCCTCAATTCACACTTACGGACTACACATCATTCTTCACCGCAGGGGCATTATGCGCAACTCTTACACACGGAGCTATGACTCCTATAGACGTCGTCAAGACTCGTATACAAGTTGACCCAGCCCTAGCTCGTCATTCCCTATTATCAGCAGGCCGCAAGATCGTTGCTGCTGAAGGACCCTCTTCTCTTCTAACAGGCTTCGGTCCGACCGCAGTGGGGTACTTCATCCAGGGGGGAGGCAAGTTCGCCGGATACGAATTTTGGAAGAAGAACTTTGTGTCTATTGCTGGTGACCAGGAAACAGCTGTCAAGTATCGGACGGCAATTTATCTTGGTGCATCTAGTGTTGGAGAGTAAGTCGTAAGATTTATTAACTAACATGGGATCAATCTTACTTGGAAATGCGTAGGTTCTTTGCAGACATTCTCCTCACCCCTCTTGAAGCGACTCGGATACGTCTCGTATCCGAACGAGGTTTTGCAACTGGTCTCGTTTCCGGGTTCATCCGCCTCGCTCGCGAAGGCGGTATTGGTGAGATGTACGCAGGATTCCTCCCCATCATCTGCAAGTAAGTTCATCTACGCCTACGCACCTCAATGCGCATAGCTTACTATTTAATATATTTATGCAGACAGATACCATACGCAATCGGACAATTCACCGTCAACGAGTTCTGTCACGAAGCATACTTCCGCTCACTCTCCGAAGAGAAGAGGCGAAAGACGGAGAACTCTAAGGCCGCGATGTTCGGAGTCAACCTCGGAAGTGGGATAATTGCCGGATTTGCAGCAGCAATCCTCAGTCAAGTCAGTTGCTCTTCTAATTTCAATAACATAATAATTAGTTCGGGGTCTGATTCTCACGTCTTGATTATTAGCCTGCAGATACTCTTCTAAGCCAGGTATGCTCATTCCTTACATGTAAAGATTCACAGCTCACTAGTTCCAAGATCAACAAAGGACACGGTCCCTCCGGATCAATGGCATCCCGTCTTATCAGCCTCGCTCGCGCAGCCGGCTTCCGTGGTCTCTTCGCTGGCCTTGGACCAAGGATGGTCATGACTGCCGGACTCGTTGCTGGTCAATTCTTGATATACGATGAGATAAAACACGGTATGTATTTTTGTTTCCCTTTCTGAATGCGTCGAGTTCATGTTAGCTGACTGGTTTGGAAATGTAGCACTCGGTGCGCCTCCTGGCTTAGAAATTCATAAGAAGGCGGAGGGTTCGAGATGATTGTTGATTAGTACGCAGCATTCTCCAGCGTTCCTTTGTTGGATTATAGAACAGGCTTCTTTAGAATAGAACTACTGACTGTGGCCGAATGGACGTAGACTGGTACATTAATAATACTACTAGTATCTTAATTCCCGGATTTTCGTGAACAACGCTTCGTCCTTGTCATCAATCCGTATCATTCCGATCACTTTCCGTTTCGCCAATACCGAGAACTCCAGCCAACTTTTCCTTCACTCCGCCTATTCCGACGGACTCGACAACGCTAGTCGCAACACTGAGGTCCCAAGCAATGAAATGCCGACAAATCATTTCAGCTTGTGCCAGATCGTCGATTTCCTCTGGTTCCATGTCTTCGTCGAGTAGGCGCGTGATATCATGCGTAGCGAGGACAGAGCTCAAGAAAGTTCAATAAGTTAATGGTAGTTGTGTATCTCCAACGTGACATCTGGACTAACCTTACGCGTTGCGCTCGACGAACGATCGCGGATGGCAGACCAAACATCTGCGCACAACGTGCCGCGTGCGAATCTAGAGAAAGTCCAGGTGCGACTCTACCAAATCCAAATTCTAATGTAAGAATCCGAAGGAGCAAGTCAAAAACGCCTGCTGCTCCTACACACACCTATACAAATACGTTATCGTTTCTCCCCGAAGTACCCTCAAGTAAGCGTTGGCATCCATGTCCTGGCCCTGATCTTCGTCTTCCTCAGAACGGTCTGGTAAGAGAATTTCCATGTGTAGAAACGTAACAGGTAAATCTGATTCAAGTAAGTCGGAGTGGAAGACGTCTTGAAAGTGTGTTGCTATGAGGACTTTGGGGCATTCTGGACCGCGCGAGAGTAATGAGTGAAGGACCCCGCAGAGTAGACCTGCGCCATCTAGAGGAACATAGTGTTAGGCAAGCGTTCCATGCGAAAAAGCAAGACGCTCTTGATGAAGCAAGATATCGTGATGGAGCAGAAAGAAAAGCGGAGCAACGTGGGCAAAGCCTATCAAGCAGATTCGAAAGTTAAAACGATTATTTAACTGGCCTCTAGAAACAGTTCCTTTGCCAAATTCGTCAAGAAGAATGAGAGAGCGAGGAGTCGAATTCCGAAGAGCAAGCGAAACTTGGTTTAGGTCGGTCATGAAAGCAGACTGAATCTGTTTATGGATGAAGAGATTCAAAGAGACCAGATCGAGCGACATTAGCCTCGTTGAGATTAGCACGTGGACAGAATTAAGAGTATGCTATACTTTCGAGACTGTTTCACGAGTTTGGACGCGAGTGAAAACTGTAAGAGGTCCAGTGTCAGGCGTAGGAACAGATAGTAGCCAAAGGAAGCGAACTTTTGTCCACAATTCCTACGGTAGCAGATTCCGCCGGAACGAAACTGAAAGCAACGTCAGCAGACACCAAGAAGAAGGAAAGTGTACTTGCCACCCTATCTAATGCATGCAACTAATAAATCTCTACATTATCATGTATTTATATAATGATACGTACTTGAGCCATGTACTGGATCAACGCGGTCTGGAGTGCGGATGAACGTGATGAGTCTCTATACTGAAAGCTAGTTCGCCGATACGAACCTGTTTGAGGTATACACTCTAACAACAGTAACCATTAGCAGTGTCATTCTTATGTATAGCCTCAACATACCTTTCCGCATGCATTTGCGCCAGTAAGCAGTAAAATACCTTTCGTATCAGCAGGGATGTCTTCATCCTCAGGCATTTCTTTCCCTTCGGGGTCCGGACCGCTTCCTAGCCCACCTCTTACGTACACATCGTTCGGCACGAAGGTATCAACCACTTGCTCCTGAAGTGGGTGCCTTCACAGGTATCAGTAGGTCGTTACGGATTCAATCGGCGCCGTATGCGTACCTCCCTTGGCAAATGCATAAGACGTTCTTATCAGTCATCGTTGGCCTTCGATAAGAATACAGCCGAGCCGCATCCGCAAAACAAAGAAGACAATCCAGTTCGGCGAGAATATCACATGCTTGAGCAATCGCGTCGTCGAACTGTAAGATTTTATCGAGAAGGGCCTGCATTATTTCGATCTCTCGATCTCCGCCAACGTTGGTCGGCGCAAATAAATCCAGAGCGATAATTAACATACCGACTATCGAAGGATGCAGATCTCCGATATGACGGTCCATATCTGTTGGAGAATGTGCAGCAGGAACTGAACAAGCAGCAAGGAAGCCTACCATGCATCTGATCGGACTTGAAATAAACATGCGTCCTATTTCAAGTAGTGTAAGATACTGAAATGGGCATGAAACAATGGAACGTATACTCCGAAGAGAACTGCAGACATATTAGCACACAAGTCCTACGCACGAGAAATGCAATCACCTGGAAACTCCAACCGTCCAGGACGTCAATTCCTTGTTCAGGAGACTGATCTTCTTTCTTTGGAATGCAGATCAAGAAGCCTACCACAAAATCAGTTAGATGATACAACGATAGCAAGGTCAGATACTTGCCCAACTGGGGAAAGTAAACAACATTCAAAGAGGTGGTATAGTCGGGGGGCACAGTCTCGCTGACTTGAGATGCCACTCGAGACTATCAAATTAAAGTAGGTCGCCTCCACCAAGTAATAGTGAGCAGATGAACTGACCAAGACTCCATCGATGCCATTATAAATGTGCTTCCACTTATCTAGTTCTTCGTCGATATTAGGACGTACGCAGACTCGGCCCGCGTGTACGGATTCTTCCCAATCAACCTGTAGCAGGGTTTCATTTACCAGTGGTCTACTTGGGATCAACGGCACACTCACAGTTTCGTGGATTGCATTGCCTACGTCCCGGAAGCTAGTTACGTCCAAAATGGCAATAATCTAGATAGCATATTCAGCGGAAGGTCTACCACCGATTGTGATAGAAGGATGACCTTCTTCAGCATTTCGATTTCTCCAATATGGTTGAGCTCCATAAGTGCTTCTTTAATTAGGGAAGCGTGAAACGTGAACTTTAAATAATAATCAGCAACATTGAACGAAATCAATAAGTAAACCCATTACCTTGACTAATCCTTGCCATTCATTTAAACCAGCTTTCCCGGTCTTTAGGAGCCGCATTGTCCTAGGTACGTTCCTCAAGCCCTTGAGATGACTGCACATGGCATCGGCCGTGACAATATTTTCAGGCATGGTAAGGCATTCTACGGCGTCATGGCGCGCAGCAATTACTGAAAGCGATAGCGAAGGTCGGAGAAGCCATTGGCGAAGCAACAGGCGCCCGAGGTTGGTGCGAGTCGTGTTCAGAATACCTGTAAGAAATGCTTAACATAACAGCTAAAGGTTTTGTCCCAAAGAGTACGCTCACCGAACAGAGATAAGCCCTCCTTTGTCTTGTCCGAATGAACAGCTGCATGGCTTTGAGTGTCGAATACTTGTAGGGACCTAAAGACATGCTCATAAACGACGGGCCATGCACATCAGAGGAGAAGGATCACAATAATGCGTCTGCATTAATCTGCATGAACTGTTCTCTTGATGAATATGCAACGTCAGTCAATGTTGGGTGGCGCTGAAGCACTCAGGACTGACAGGCATATGGATTCTATAGCGCGAATTTCAAGTCCACTGATGCCTTCGTTCTCCAAGTCCGCCATAGCGCGCACTTTCGCTAGATGCTCTAGAAGAGCACCGATTGCCGACAACTGTTCCGAACATAAAATATGTAGCTTCACATTAATATGGCTTTGCGAACACTCACGCATAAAGGAGAGCCCTCAAGAGAAGCGAAGTTTCCAGCACGGACGCTAGCATTCCACCTCTTCATTGACGGGTCTCCAGTTATCTCCCGCCGGCGACGCATGAAGTCATACACATTTGACGGCGTATCACTCGAAGAATGTACTGAGGACGACGCGAGCCTGTCATCGCAAGCAAGCTCTGAAAGGAAGCTGAGAGAAAGAAGACGGTCGCGTCCCTTTACAGGCATAAACTCTCTAGCAGGTCTTATTTGAAAAACACCGCCAGAATTATCGACTGCCTTTTCCGTGAGATACAACTTCAGTAAGTTTAACTAGCGATCATACCAAACTCTCTGATGGTGTCTATTGAATTTTCATCGGCCCTCGTACTTGTCACCACTACATCTGGGCTTATTTGCTCCAGCACTGGTATTTCAACTAAGTCTAGCGAGGTGGAATAAAGAACAGTGGCACTTACAGAGTTTCGTGAGGTCACATTGTGAACCCTCAACCGAGTCTTCCAGGATACACATTACCTGCCTTACAGGATCATAATACGCGCAGCCAACTCGAAACCTGCATATAGACGCTTAATAGTGATCATTTCGCACACTATTAGCAGAAAACGCATACTGCTGCGAGTATATCGCAAGAATAATCTATTTTCAGGAGCATATATCAACCATCCGTAAATAGGATGAGAAGTCGGCCTTCACACCTTATCATCCGCGGTTTCTGTACCATCACTGTCACTTTCCTCCTGCTTCTTCCTACTGCTTTCCTCTTCATCTTTTTCTTCAGTAGATTCATTGACGTCCCATCTGACTTTCTTCTGAGCAGCTTCCTCTTCTCCACCGCTATCCACACTGTCGTCCACGCCGGTGTCTTCATTAGCAGTTTGAGGTTCATGTTGCTTCCTCTTCCTCCACGCTTGCTTTCTCTTGAAGAATCGGCGTCTCTGACCAGCCATGTTTACCCACGCGTACGTATGTCTGAAGAATAAGTGCAAGAAATGGACAGAGTATGGGAACCAAGAGTGAAACGCGTCGCGTCGCGATGTGCAACAGGACGCGTTCCAAATATACGCAAACAAACGCAAACATGATTAGCAGCTGATGAAAAATAATATTCTGCAGTGAGGTGCACACGATACGGAATCAGTTTTGCTACGGCTATCGGTCAATCTCGAAAACCACCTCCTCTCCTGGTCGGCCAGGAACTCAAATCCTCATGCCTACTTCCCCTTTTTCAGCAAGTCCGCCACATCATCTCTCGCAACTACCCAAAGTATTCAACACACTTCACTGCTTACAAAACAAGAGACAAACCCACCGTTCAATAGTAAGCTCTGTGAATCCAACATAATGTTGTTGCCTGACTGAGCAAGAAGCGTCGCAATGTCTCTAGCAGCTTCAAGGCGACGCAGTTCAAGGAAACCTTTGTTTTGTCGTACAGCTTGACCGATGAGCTCTGCACTCTGCGCTTCACCCTGCGCGCGGACAATGATAGACTAAATTATGATTATTTCCGTTAGTCTTGGAGAAATTGACACTATACGAGGGATACTCACTTGTTTTTCCTGGATCGCTTGATCGACCAAGAAAGCTGCCCGAAGAGCAGTTTGTTGTGCAATCTGATTAATTACGTGAGTTGCAACGACAAGAGAAAAAAGGCAGTGAAGCTCCTTCACCTGTTTCGCCTCTACAGCATGGGTGAATTCAGGTGAGAAAGCAACATGCGTAATCGAGACATCTTCCAAGACAAGGTTAAACTTGAGAGCTCTCCTCGTCAAACTCTCTCGGACCAATTTCGAAACCTGCACGAAAGAAAGAAAAAGTCATTTCCTCATCCTAAGGTCCACGTAGTCATTTCGCTCACATTTTCACGCTGAGTAATAAGCTGACTCGCATTGAACTGAGCAACAACACTCTTCAGGACCTCGTTCACGATCGAAGGCAAAACTCGTTCGTCGAAGTCCTGCCCGAGCTCACGATAAATTCGCGGAAGAGCCTGGATAGAGGGTCGTGACAGGACACGGCACGTAATGTTGACCATTTGCAAATCTAAAAAGTGGAAGTTCCATCTACATTATGACCAAGGACTCGATGATGCACTTTATGTCACTTGCCTTTCGTTCCTGTAAGACTTGCAATGTTTCTCGGCTTCGCACGAATATCGAAAACTACGGGCGTCTCAAACCAGGGTATCTAAAGCCAATTTCTACTTAGTTTTCAACCCAAAGTGCTAAGTCGTGGATCCGTACCCTGAGATGTGTTCCTTCAGGATAAATAGTCTCCATTACGCCATGTATCCTATGCAAGACAATCAGTAACACTCCTTCTCACAAAACGTCTGCGATGAATCTTACCTCGAATATTTAATCGCACGATGTCCACCATCCACTAATCAATAGTGCAATACAGCTAAGTTCAAACACACGAGCGATATTGAGAAATATAACCAATGCGCACCGTTGTACAAAGCATCGTTCAGTATGACTGCCGCTGCAATCGCAGCAACTAAACCAGTACTACCCCAAATACCTCCTCCTCCCGGTACACCACCTCGCCTCGCCCTCGCTAGCTGCTGGCCTAATTGTCGGAACGGGTCGCTCATTTGTCCGTCTGCTCCGTCGCGTCAGAACCAAGTTCAATAGCAGAGACTGTGACGTGCCGAGATGAGACTCTGGTGACATAAGCAATATTCTTACTCATCGGTATTTCAACAGCTGTTAATGGACACCCGTGACCCGTCCCGTAATAATTTTTTTATTTACCTGAAGATAATTCAAATGCTGTATTGGTATAAGTAGCATTTATCGTAACAGTGTCCATTGTGCAAATGTACAGTCGCTAATAGGCATGAAACTAGTACCGTATAAGATGATATCCACAAAGCAAAGCTATAAGCAATGACGACCAGAACGAAATCTTGATAAAATAGTGAGAAGAAAAACAAATTCTAAATAACAACAGCACAAAGAAATAAAAAAGATAGTCCAAATCCACCCGACCAATCAACACAACACAACAGACCAACCTCAATCAATCTTATCCTCACTGGCAAGTTCCGCAGCCAGCCTCGCCAACATACCCTCAGCACGCGGATTCCTCGGAAACGTCTTACCGTTTCCTGCACCACCTCCACCGCAAATAAGCTTATACACCACCCCACGCCATCCGCGCTTCTTCCCAACCCCAATTATTTGGGCCCAATTTGCGCGAAAGCCGACGTCGTATAGACGAATTTGGCTATGTGCGTAACGGACGTGTCGGCGTTGGGAGGCGTTAAGCTGGTGTTCATGGAGTCGGAGTTGAGCTTGGCTGGTTGGGGTTGTTGGGACGTGGAGGGAAGCGTATGTGGGATCTGGAGGAGTACTTGGTCGGGATGAAGGATGGAGGGAGGGTTGTGGGGGAAATGGAGGGATGCTACCTGCGGTTGCCAGAGGTGTAGATGCTTCGGGCAGTGTATGGATGGCAGGTGAGCTTGGGAGATAGCGCAGGAGGAGGAAAGGAGATATGTTCTCTATGGTCGTTTGATTGGTTCTGTTCCATACAAGTCCGAGTTGGTAAAGAATGGAGTAAAATGCGATGATAAGCCGAACTCACGAAGCGAGGTATACATGCCAAAGGAAGAAAGAGCCAACGACAAGAGAAAATATAGCGCCGTATATTGAGAGGAAGAGAGCGTGAAGGGCCGTTCGTTCGTTCTGTACGAGTTCGTTAATAATTTGTTTGAACGGTACTTGACTGATATGCGCTTACCACAAGGAAGGGATTTAAAAACGCGACGTAGACAATCCGGCCTGCAAGAAGCGCGATATACGAAGAAAGGAGGGATATACAAAGAAGGAAATGGAGGAAGGCTGTATAAGTCCAGTGTCCCTTCGTGATGTACATTAATTTAAATGAAGAGGATCAAGTAGTTATAAATAAACATACCACGCATTTTTGAGCGAGCCATGGGCAATGGTGATCTTAATCAAGGGTGAGTTAGCATCGGGACAGATAAATAGTGACAGATACTGACCCATCTTGAGAACACAGCGTCCACAAGCAGAACAGTGATGTGTCCTTTCTGGCTTTGGTGCCCAGCATTTCCTGCACCATTTGTGTGGGGCATTGAAGTCATCGTCAAAGGGTTCAGGTTGCCCTTTTCTGGTCTTGGAGTTAGGGCTCATGCGAAGCGCATCAACCATGTCCGTTTCTTCATTTTCATCTTCAGTGTCCTGCATGTTAGAATCAGGACCGGCATCTTCACCGACACGAATGGCGCCTGGATCGCGCACGACACATACGAGGAGTGAACAGGAAGCCAAGAAGGTAAAGAGGTATATGATCGACAAGTGGACTGCGAAGAGAAACGGAGAATCGTGTATAGTCAGGTAGTATGAGACGAGCATGACCAGTATGTTGTATTGCGGTGCGAACAAGAGAATGACAAGCACTTAACGGATAGTTAGAGAATAGAATTGCAAATTGACTGCGAAGAACGTACTGAGTAAGGGAAGGTACATCCACCATCGCTTCTTCTTCGCTGGCCGTCCGTCCTCTTGGCCATCGTCGAGTACAGAGTCATCGTCCTCGCTGGCCGAGGGAAGGTCTGAGAGCCTTTCATAAGGGGCACGAGCACTTGTCTGCAAGGTCAACAAAGGCATTATGCACCCTCGACTACGGTGAGGTCAACGTGAATAAATGTACGTAGAGGGAAGAACAAAGGGGCCGTTGTCGTTGCCGTCGGCGGTAGAAAGCTGTGTAACCTAGGCAGAGCCGCGGAGTGATGGGACCGAGTTGCCGTCCTGGTCAGTCAGGAGTGCTACTTCGTGAATCACGATTTCTCGCGGTTGACCACGCAAGCATCTTCTCGCATAATAATTCTGTTCCTGCTGTGTGCATTATGTCCGCTTCTTGTCCTTCCGCCATCTACCCCCCTGTAAGACTGTGACCGCAGCAAAATGCTGCGTCGTACTTCTACTGTGTCTCAAGAGCTCAGAAACTTCTCAACTTCAAGACTCAACTCGAATACATGTAGAGCAAATAGACCTCGTCTATACTCGACGAATTTAGATCCCAAGAGTAGTAACCAGAAGGGTGGCACTCGGTTACTAGCATTTTCAAGTCGAACCAAGACTTTCCTCCTAGGCTGTGTGTTCGGAAGCGCAGTCGCACTCTCCACTTTTTACTACCTGACCAAGAAGAATGCTGCGAGAGAACCCAAAGTCAAATACGGAACCGCTCCAGAATTCCAAGCAGCTATTCGCATATTATGCTTAACATTTCCGGAGGACGGGAAAGTGTCAACCGATCCAGAAGACCTCAATGACCATGGCTTCTCTATGTACGACTATCATCCGGGTACGTCCGCCGTAGAATTCGGCCATCAAATGTGGCTGCTCACGAAATTAATGCCGGATCACACAGGTGCTATTCATAGTGTTGTCGTATATCCGGAATGCACCGAAGACGTTGTAAAAATCGTTGAAATTGCAAAAAGGTTTCGGATGCCGGTCATCCCGTTTTCTGGCGGAACGAGCTTGGAAGGCCAGACTCGAGGTGTAAGAATATTTTATTCGTTCTAGATTACGCCTTGCTAAATTGGCACTGATGATGGTAGCATAAATATGGAGGCATTTGCGTAGATATGTCTCGCATGGACCAAATATTACAGATAAATGGTGACTAAACACGTTTGTTCATTGATTTCACCTGGATTGAAATCTAGTATACAGAGGCTGATGGTGACTTGGTCTGCCAGCCTGGAGCAAGATGGATGGATATCAATGATTACCTTAAGGCAAAAGGTGTATATACTCATGCTTTTGTATTTTTGTAACTGCATTAACTCACGAATTTATACCAGGCATTCCCTTATTCTTTCCTGTGAGCCATAATTGACATACCAAGACACTTTAGCTTGTTTCGAATTGACGCTTAACTAGTTGGACCCCGCACCCGGCGCTACTATTGGTGGTATGATCGCGACAGGTTGCTCAGGAAGTACGTGACAAGCTCTCAACTTATTAACCTATACGGCCGATTATGATTTCTTTTGCAGCGAATGCCGTTCGGTACGGAACAGCAAAAGCTGAGTGGTTCCTCAATTTAGTATGATTGTTTCCTTCAACACGAATCCCTTCGATCTTAATAATCTATCATTAGACAGTCGTACTACCCTCCGGACAAGTCATCAAAACCAGGAGACGAGCTCGCAAGTCTTCAGCAGGCTTTGACACAACGAAGCTCTTCATAGGCGCTGAAGGTACTCTCGGAATTGTAACTGAAGGTGGGGTGACTTGCCTATATGCGTCCGTCTCCTAGATTAACGACTCAACGGTTATTCGTTTACAAATTTACAGCAACATTACGGTTGGCACCGTTACTTCCAACATCCGTGGCAGTCGTACATTTTCCGGACGTCAGGAAAGCAACCGAGGCTGTGAGAGAAGTAGTGGCCCAGGGAGTCGGTATTCGTACGTACATACACCATTCTCACAGATCTTAAACGCCTTAATAATGAACTCATTGGTACCTATTAATATAGAATGCGTCGAACTCTGCGACGACGACTTCATGCACGCCACGAACCTATACGGCATGTCCAAACGCAAATGGCCCGAAAAAGATAGTCTATTCTTTAAATTCCAAGGTCACTCACTCGAAGCACTACGAGACACAGCCAAGGTAGTCGAGAAAGTCGTGAAACGTCATGGAGGGACGGGGTTCACTCTAGCGAGAAACGAGAAAGAGGCGGCAGACTTGTGGACTGATGGGAAGAACGCGCATTATTCGGGATGTGCGTTGGTAGAGGGTGCGAAAGGGTGGCCGACGGATGTTTGGTACGTTCTTAATAAGCTTCTTTTTCTATTTTTAAATTATCCGAATTTACGAATGATGATTGCTGATATGCATAATGAATGAAGTGTACCAGTCTCGAGACTCCCGGACCTTGTATACGAGACGAAGAAGGACCTAAAAGCGTCCGGACTCGTCTCAACGATCGTAGGGCATGTGGGCGATGGAAACTTCCATGCACTCATACTCTTCAAAAATGATGAAGAACTAGCAAGAGTACGCGAGGCGGTACATCGAATGGTAGAGCGCGCGATTGCACTCGACGGAACTTGTGCGTACTTTTTATTTGCTGGACTATCTTCTCTTGATGTACTAATTGATTGATACTAACTTGTGAAGGTTCGGGTGAACACGGTGTTGGGATTGGGAAGAAAGAGTTTCTTTATGAAGAGCTGGGAGAGGGTACAGTCGAGCTTATGAAGGCGATAAAACGTACAATTGATCCATTAGGGTTGTTTAACCCCGGAAAGGTTCGTCAAAAAAACTTATATTCTCGACACTTTGTGATATTTTAAATTCATTGACCTGGTGGTGTTACGACATTGCAGTTATACCCAGACAAGCCTACCAATCAGCCGAAGATACACACACCATGAGACACGTTTATGTTTCGGGGATTTTGTACGTATGAAGGATTTACAAGGTAACTCAGACACAGGAAATAGGGTAAAAGATGTATGCTATGTTCAACTACCAGCCCATGCATTGTGATTTATTGTCAGCAACAAAGCTTTATTCTGCGGCTGGCAATCTCTTTGGCAGGTACTTCCCTAGACTATATGCAAATATCCAGGTATGCAATTCGCGCGTTGAAGACCCACCTCCATCAAAGGCGATGAGATCGCATCCAAGCATCCGAAGTCCAAACATGCATTTTCCAACAGGCATTCAGATAAGACAACATCAGAGTCTCAGATGAAGCGCTGTAGCTCTGTTTCTGCAGCCGTCTGATATCAAAGCATCATTGAAGAGCGGCCTGTCGGCGGTTACCTTCGCCGAACCGTCTGAAGCAACTCCGCGGAGCCACTATCTGTACAATCACTGTCTTTGATTGTGCTCTAGGTGCTTTGCTTGTTCTCGTCGTTACATCAAGGTTGATGTTAAACAATCGAATTTATGGATACATCAAAATTTGTACCGCCCTGCTAGTACTTGCTGTGTAATAGGATGTGATCTTTGTGAGTAATTTCTTTTATATGCTCTTTCTACTAGTATGCGGAATGTATTACGGCGAGATCTAGGACATGAAATCAAATTGAGCAGAGATGGGATCATTTATGGAGCTAGGGTTGTACCGATGGCTTCACGGGTAGTCCTGTGGTGCCTTGAATAGGTTGCAAATGGCTCAACAGTAGTTCAAAAAATCAAGATGTCTGGACCGCCTCGAATGGACGCCAAGGTACTAACGCTGGTCTGCGCCAAGTAATGCACAAAATGTATTATATGGACGTTAACTTATAGGAAATAGGGAGCGCCACTAACGCTAGGTCTTGATGCAGGAGTATAGATTGGATCTATATATTGGCTATGAATATGTTTAAAAGAAAAACGATTGAACACCTCCCAAGTCAGCTGACGCTGCTAGTAAGTCTCTAAGCTTCTCGATTGCACTCAATGGCGACTCTCGAGCCAAGTCTGGCTGTATCCCTTGCGACAAACGTACATATTCTTCGAGTACGTGATCAGATTAGCCCGTCACATACTGTCTACTTATTCGGTTGCATTTACAGCATTGGTACGTCTCTCACCTTGTTGTCATTTATGTATTGAGCATTTATTGAGCCTCCCTTAGACATACGACTACTTGCTGACATTTGATAAAGAGAAGGAGCTAATCTGGCCATTGCACATTTCAGTTATTAAAATTCTTTTCCTTCTAAATCGATATATACCGTTTATAGCGGTTTCTGGCCTAGTCCATGGTATTGAGCAGATACTGTTGTATTTGCAATACGTGCAGATTGTGGGATCGACATTGAAGCACAAAGTGCTTTGATGTGTCGATCTGCATCATTCTAATCTATAGGTTAATCATTCTATATTCTATTCTATCTATTCCCCTTTCATATGTCTGTAACCTTTCATATGATAGTTATTTTTCATATTTAAGCTTTCCCCTGTATCTTTTACACCTCAGACAATTGTAACTTGTGTCTGAGGTATGTGCTGTATTTATTATTGTCTCTGTACTACTATATTTACTATTATTATTATTGTAGCTATTACAATAGGTATACTAATAAATTATAAATGATTGTAACTTGTGTCTGAGCTATTATAATAGATACTATACATACTAGGTTCATAGGTCTGACAGTTGAACCTCCTTCTTTATAGTATTGATCCCTTTCAATACACACACTCATTTACAAATGAGTAGATATAGCTTTTCCTGAATTATTTCTAATACATCTATACTAGAACTATGTACCTACTTTTTGGATATTCAGTAGTATGTTGAAAGTGACTGTGGTTACTTTTCATAATCCATTGACTTAGCATACAGGTTTTTTAACTGCAGAGTATGTAATCGGAGGTTGTAAGTTGTGAATCCAAAAGACATCTTGTACCTCTCAGTCTCATACATCAGGAAAATATCTCAAACTTTGTATTAGCTTATATGTATATAAATTATATATATTTTCTACATTATGTATAAGAGCTTATTGTGTACCTAGGGGTTTTAGGAAGGTAATAAGAAGCTAAGAAAGCTATTAAAAAGTCTTGACTATCTGGTCAAGAATAATAAGAATTGTAGTACTTACTAAGATATACAAGTGCTTAAAGTGCACCTCACAAAATGGCTAAGTATTATAATACTTGTTATTTTAACAAGGAAAACATATAAATATAAGATGTATAAGATAAGTTTGTCCTTATATCCATTTGTTATTGAAATAACAGTTTATAATTATATTGAAATATTGTATAAATACATTATTATCTACAACAATTAGGGAAATAATCTGACGACAGATGGTGAGTGTATTGACAATAGAGAACGAATGTGTTCCTCAGCCATTTGAGGTAGTCTTTGTCACCATGCCTTGGTCGCCACTCGGTCCCTGCAAGTTGAGTTGTGTGTGGATTGTGAGATTGTACGGATTGCAGAGGTCGAGGTTGCACTTGTGAGGCAGGTTTGGAGGTTGACTTGCTAAGGAGGCAATGGGTTGTTAGCGAGTGCGGGTGCTTGAAGTAAAGAG